CACCTTATCACAGAGACCCTCAGACTATACAGATTTGATACTTCTAAAATACATTATAAACCAGACTTACTATTGAGCAGATTTTACAAAAATATTTCACATCCTGTCAACTAGATTTCATCCTACTTTCATAAAAGTAATCACCAAAAGACATAACCATCACAGGGTTTGGTGATGAAGGGAGAAGTAGTTGACTATCACAGGGTTTGGTGATGAAGGGAGAAGTAGTTAACCATCTCAGGGTTTAGTGGTGAAGGGAGAAGTAGTTAACCATCTCAGGGTTTAGTGATGAAGGGAGAAGTAGTTGACTATCACAGGGTTTGGTGATGAAGGGAGAAGTAGTTAACCATCTCAGGGTTTAGTGGTGAAGGGAGAAGTAGTTAACCATCTCAGGGTTTGGCGCCTGTATTGTCACACTCAACAGGCGATGTAGAGAAGAGAATCCTGTTGCTGTTAATGCAGAGGTCAACACTCTCATCGGTGAAAATTCAGACGAAGCAGATGCAATAATCTATACAGACGGATCCGTTATACGCCAAATGGGCATTTACAGCACGCTCAGCGGGCGGAACAGTCAGAGACTGAAGCCAACGGCGCCTTCTCCATGACAACCAGCAGCATGACGATGGAGGTGATGGCAGTGACACAAGCGCTTGCCTGGCTTGAAACACAAAAATACACCCGCGTGTGTATACTCAGTGATTCAATGAGTATGATCCGGAGGGTTCAGGCAGGTTCAGTGCGAAGACAATGGCTTGAATCATTACAGAAGTCCACTGTCCGTGGAGTCACCTTTATTTTTGTTCCGGGACACGCAGGCGTCGATGGAAATGAAAGAGCTGACAGGTTGGCTGGATCCGCTATCACTACCGACGGTCAGCCTATGGATCATGCTGATATTATCAATGCCCTCAGAGAAATGGGAAGGATAGACGACTTTGGTGGCAGTGAATCCACATCACTCGCCAGAATGGCAGACTTGGGAATTAAGATCGGCACAGCAAAAAACGAGACGCACACCAGCTACGCCAGAAGACTTGTTAATCAACATAGAACTGGTACTATTAGCCATCGGACGTTGGGGTTCATACTGAGGGGAGGATCTGAGCACCTATGGACATGTCCGGAGTGCAATGAGGATAACCCAACTAACTAACTAACTAACTAACTAAGGGTTTGGCGATGAATGGAGAAGTAGTTAACCATCTCAGGGTTTGGTGATGAATGGAGAAATAGTAATTCTTTCTTGTCTCATTCTGTTACACAGAACTATCCATGTCTCTTATCCCTTCTGTGTCCCTGACAAAACTTTATTTCTGAACAGTCAATCCAACATCAATCCTTTCAGCAATAGTTCATTGATCCTTTCAGCAATAGTTCATCAATCATTTTAGCTTTAGTTCATCAATACTTTTAGCTTTAGTTCATAAATACTTTTAGCTTTAGTTCATCAATACTTTTAGCTTTAGTTCATCAATACTTTTAGCTTTAGTTCATCAATATGTTGTGTGTATTTATCTGTGTTTATGATACACTACATGTGTTTAAGTTTAAGATTTGTTGTATTCTTTTATGATATGTAGAACCAAATTTTTCCTGCCTATAAGCAAAAGTTTTTTTCCAATTTTGTTTTTAATAGTTTAAAACTGGGGACTGTCTTATACACAGAATGTGATTAAAATATATGTTCCTTAATTATGGGTTAATAAAATACTCATGCATGAAGGAGTCTTGTACATGAAAAAATGGTATGGATTTATTATATACTGTATGCATTTATGACAAGTTGTAGGTATTTTTGTCTGCATATGATATGCTGTATGTATAAATCACAAAAGAACTGAATAACCTCATCCCTTACATGCAAACAATCACACACAATTTAAAAAGCAGATGACCTGTGAACTTTGGCACATGTAAAACATGGTTCCCATACAAGAGTTGAAAGACGGCAATGCTGCAGGGTCAGGTTATACAATGGGAATACAGTTGTCAGTCTTGATCCAATCTAAGATATTCTCGCAATACAGGAAACATGATAAATGGAATACATTCCCAAGGACCTCAAAAGCTTATGTATTGGCTGACTCATGCTGTGACCCTTTGACCTCTACCACTGATAGGAAAATTTAAACATACAATAATAAATTAAAAAACATAAAAGAATAAAGGATCCTTTTCACACCTCTAGTACATTGGGCATATAGGGCTAGACCTAGATTTTATAGACCAATCAGCATCTGATGGATGATGTGGTTATCATGAGGCCATCTCCTTTCTTCTCATTCTTCTTTTGTCAACATCTGCTTATGCCGCTAGGCGTCGCAGTACATCAGAAGATCGGCAGCCAAGCCAGGGTGCGCTTGGCCGCTTGATATGCCGTGATGTTATGCAGTCTCAAAGTGTCAGTGACTCCTTCAATCCATCTTCTTCTCGGTCTTCCCCTGCCTCTTGATGTTTCGATTTTCAGGTTGTGCCCTTTTGCTGCTGGCATCATTGGTTTTATTCTCATCAGATGTCCAAATCATTTTATTCATTGTTTCTCAACAAGTTTAACAACTGATGTTGTTCCAACAGTTCTTGTGATCACGTCGTTTCTCACTCCATCTCTTCTAGTTTTACTCAGTCATTCTCAAACATCTCATCTCACAGGTGCTTAGTTCTTCCTCCTTTACTTCCCACAATATCACCTGGTACCAACTTTAGGCTAGGTCAATGTGGGAGTTGAGGCCAATTTTGAAAACAAAAAAATCCTTGATGCCCTAAGTATCCACTGGGCTTAAAGTGAGCTGGTTGAGGAGCAATGCTCCAATGGGAGATGAATGACAGAAGTCAGAAAGAATGGTGGTAAAAATGAAATAACTTTAAAATGTTCAATAAGCAGGTAAAAATGAAATAACATTAAAATGTTCAATAATCAGGTAAAAATGAAATAAATTTAAAATGTTCAATAATCAGGTAAAAATTAAATAACTTTAAAATGTTTAATAATCAAACACAAATTATCCCTTCAATCATCTTTGGCTCTAGTACAGATTATTCCTTCAATCATCTTTTAATCACCAAGATCTTCAAAAAGTGGCTAGTTTCATAAAGCTCAATTAAAACTCCAACAAGTGACCACACATATTATTCTCAGTATGGATATAAACTCTGACAATTTATAATCAGGCTATCCGATGTTAGCATCACGGATAATGTAAAAATGAGATGAATGAGCACAGGTGTGGAAGTCCACAATCTGTGGATTTATGGATTCATAAAAGATACATAACAAGCAGCAATTCATTAAAAAAAATTACAACACAATAAGAAAAATGTGTGCAGAGACTTGAGAAACTAAGGAAGAAAGTATAGATATCACATCTTTGAATATCCAGCTCTTACAGACGCCAGACAATAATTACTTTTAACAAATGCAGATAACAGGAAAACTTGATGAAACAAAAAACAAAACAACAACTGATACAAATTTCAACTCTTCATGAATCTTTCTTCTTCTTCTCTTCATCCGGTTACCTCATCAAGGTGTTTGGGGGGGGGGGGGGGGGGGGGGGGGGAGGAGGTAAGGATTTTTAGTGTGCTCTTCCTAATGCACAGTATAAGTTGATATTTTCTTCTTTAAGGCTACTCTTGATGTCTTCATTCAATCTTCCCATTGCTTTATGTTCACAGTAATTTTTCAGCATGGCTCTCTGTGGCAGTTGGTCGGATGACCAAACCATCTCATCTGTGCTCCTTAAAGATCTGTATGACTGTTTCTGTTGACGAATTTCTCAGTCCACAAAGCATGAGACACAAATTTACAAATACTGAATGGAATTCTGAAGTTTGAAGGAATCAACGCATGGCATTAAGCCATAGAGCAGTCATCAACACGCAGCACTGTAACAAGGGCAGGAATCAAAACAGGACACTGAGCTGCATGGCAGGAATCAAAACATGGCACTGAACCATACAGCAGGAATCAAACATGGTACTGTGCCACAGGCAGGAATCAAGGCATGGCGCTGAGCCCCATGGTATGAATCAACTCATAGTATCAAACCCCATGGCAGGAACTTGGGCACTGCTAGAGCAACAACAGCAGCAGTAAACATAACTCACGTTCAGAAATATACAACAACAATTCTGCCATAGTATGTCACTTCATCATGAACCCCATGAGCTCATTCAGAACTGAACAAAATTCCCCATATGCTGGTCAGAAACTGTACAATTTGGTTGACCACTACAAATGTATAACCCCTACCTGTCTTTCTAGTTTCCTGTTTGTATCTACTTAACAGACACAGTTGTCTTTTCGATGCCTTTACTCGTTTTATTTAAGCCAAGAAAGACTTTAAACAAAAATCTGCTTTTACCACTGTAGTGTAGGAAAAAGAGGGTTTTTTATTTCCCCTAGGACTGACAATAGCATGGCTAGTGCAAGACGCCATGGACTGTGCAGGTAAGGATTGTGTACGTGTGTGTGACCTCCTCAACAAAAAATAAAAACAGGGAAGGATAACCAAACCTAAACTAGTTAAAACATGTCTATAATGGCTACACGGGGTTATCCTGCTTGATTTTACTTTTAAAACATTAATTTTATGTACAATACAACAGATTAAAATGTGTTTAAGACAAATAAATCTTGCTGTAGTCTGTTCCTATTGCCAGTTTGTCTTAAAGCAAACACAGCCAATGTCTTTTCCTCCATCTCAAACTAAATGTAGAAGTCAACACCATCCAGTGGTCCTGATCTTCTACAAGAAATGTGGCAACTCCTGGTTGACAACACTGAGAAGACAAACAGGCAGGATAGAGGCCACAGGAACAAGGCAAGTGATGATGTTGTCAGTGTGCGGCATCAAACAAGGTCAAATAGACACCAAAGGCTGTCTATGCGGTGTCGAACATGGTCAAAGCGACACCAATGGCTGTCTTGGCAGTGTCAAAGCGACACCAAAGGCTGTCTATGTTGTGTCAAACACGGTCAAAGTGACACCAAAGGCAGTCTATGCGGTGTCGATACGGATCAGCCGGAGCTTGTAGTTGTCTGCAAGAACACAGGCGGCTTCGTTGGAACCCCCACAGTAACGGGATGAAGAGAACACAGTGAGTAGCTTCCCTTGCTGCTGTACCTGTGTCGGATGAGATCATGCATGAGAATTTTGAGGGGATGACAAAGGTGGGTATATGGATTGGATTAGAATATGGATAGAAGCATAGAGATAACATAAATAAAAATAATAAAGAAACACTGATGTGAACACTAAGGCGAGCAAGGAATACAAGAACATGAAAGCAAGGCTGGGATAGAATATGGATGAGAACTTGGATAAGAGCAGATAAAGAGGGAGAACATGTATTAGAACACGGATAAAAGTATAGATGACAAGAATAAAGATGAGAACAGGGATACAAGCAGAGATAGGAAGAGAGAACATCGAGGGATAAAAGTACAGATTACAAGAACATAGATGAGAACATGGAAACAAGCATAGATGTGGAGAGAGAACATGTATGATAACATGGAAAAAAGTATGCCTGTGAAGACAGAACATGGATGAGAACATTGATACATGCATAGGTGAGAGAAAATGGATAAGAACATGGATAAAAGTATAGATGTGAAGACAGAACTAATTTGAGGATAGGGAAGATGGATAAAAGTACAGAGGAGACAAAACATGGTTGAGAACACGGGAGATTAAAGTACAAATAAGGAGAGAGAATGCGGATAAAAGTACAGATGAGGAGAGAACATGGATAAAAGTACAGATGAGGAGAGAACATGGATAAAAGTACAGATAAGGAGAGAACATGGATAAAGGCACAGATGAGGAGAGCACATGGACAAAAGAATAGATGAGGAGAGAACATAGATAAAAGTACAGATGAGGAGAGAACATGGATAAAAGTACAGATAAGGAGAAAACATGGACAAAAGTACAGATGAGAAGACAGAGCTAAATGAAAATAGAGAACATGGATAAAAGTACAGATGATGAAAACAAGGATAAAAATATACATGATAAAATAACTAAATGAGGAGAGAGAAGACGGATAAAAGTATAGATGAGAAAAGAACTAAATGAGGAAAGATGAGATGGATAAAAGGATAGATGAGAGGAGAACTAAATTAGGAAAGAGAAGATGGGTGAAATTATAGATGAGAGGAGAATTAAATGAGAGAGAAGATGGAAAAAAGTATGGATGAGAGGAGAGGGTAAAAGTATAGATGAGAAGAGAGAAGATGGATAAAAGTATAGATACGAGAACTAAATGTGGAGAGAGAGGATGGATAAAAGTATAGATGAGAAGAGAGAAGATGAATAAAAGTATAGATACGAGAACTAAATGTGGAGAGAGAGGATGGATAAAAGTATAGATGAGAAGAGAGAAGATGGATAAAAGTATAGATACGAGAACTAAATGTGGAGAGAGAGGATGGATAAAAGTATAGATGAGAAGAGAGAAGATAGATACAAGTATAGATAAGAGAACTAAATGAGGAGAGAGAAGATAGATAAAAGTATAGATGAGAAGAGAGAAGATGGATAAAAGTATAGATGAGAAAAGAACTAAATGAGGAGAGAGAAGATGGATAAAAGTATAGATAAGAAGACAGAAGATGGATAAAAGTATAAATAAGAAGAGAGAAGATGGATAAAAGTATAGATAAGAAGACAGAAGATGGATAAAAGTACAGATGAGAAGAGAGAAGATGGATAAAAGTACAGATGAGAAGAGAACTAAATGAGGAGAGAGAAGATGGATAAAAGTATAGATAAGAAGACAGAAGATGGATAAAAGTAAAGATGAGAAGAGGGAACATGGATAAAAGCACAGATGAACAGCACAGACAGCAAAGATGACCACCAGGTCTGTAGACAAGCATCACAACCACCAAATTCCTAATGAAGATGCCCTGCTACTAATGCCACACACACAAACACAAACACACAAACACAGACCAACAGTCCCCCATACCTTGAAGCCCGTCTCCTGGACCTCATGAGCCCTGATTACGTGGGACAAGCCGTTTCTCTCCAGGAAGGCACATAAGGCCTCACAGCTGAAGAAGTGGGCGGTTCCTCTTCTGGTGTTGAATGTAAATCCGTGGTTTTCTTGCAGTTCTTGGATTGTGGCATCTGTCAGTTTGTCTGAGCTGCTGCTCAAACAGTAGTAAGTTAATACAACAGTTAGCAGTTTGGACTTCTGAACAAGGATACATCATATCAGATTTTCTACTTCTTCGCGTTCACCAGCTGTAAATTCTGATGGTGAGTTCTGGTTGTTCGCCCACCTCTGGACTTTAGTCTTGTTGTAGAACTTGAATTCTGTTCACACATCCACTTTACAAATCTGGCTTATATGTATGCAGACTGTTGGTTCATCCCTCTAAGGCAGATGTAATCCAACTTTGAAGAAAACACCCCTAATTAATCACGAGGTTTATTCTATGACTTTGATTACACTGTGGAAACTAAGATGAAATGCTGATAATATGAATTACCAGATAACATGAATTACTAGCTTAACTCTACCAGACTGTTGCACCACTTGTCCGGTTATTTCCTAATCTGCCGCTAAACTGCTGTACCTAATTTTGGTATTTTGCGTACTATGTGATAAAACGCGTCCCAAACTAACCAACTAATTGCGATCAAACCTCTTGGTTAGTCATTGTGAATGACTGCCCACATGTCTGAATTGACTTTGTGTGGTTTAATGTTATAAAATGCTAAAAATTCACAGAGAAAAGAGAGGCTGATTAACCAAGCACTTTGACAGGAAAGTGTAGTAGGTCTAGGCTTTTCCCAGTCCAACAGGTGATCGATACTTTGGTTGATTCAGACTCTGAGGAGTCAGAATTTCACAAAGAATACATTCCCAGTTGAAGTGACACAGTCAGTGAGAGCTTGAGCAATGAGGAGAATCTTGAAAATTATAGATTTAAAACTAGATTGATAGTAAGAGAAGGGGTGTGTCCCTCGAACAACAACATCTGGTGATTACTTTGTGACAAGGCTGATCCTGCTGGTGGATTGGCAAACAAAGGTGGAATATTGGCGCTAAAGTAAAAAAAAAAAGTAAAGATCCCTTTACACGCCCTTAGGCGTATCGGGCATATGGGAAGGGCACCCATATTTTTACACACCAATCGGCACTCTGTGGGTAATGTGGTCAGCGTTACGCCGACTGTCTTTACTTCCCCAGGACAGCCATCCTGGTACCCATTTTAGGCTGGGTCGACCTGCGACGTCCCATACCATGATAACAATCCACGCAGCCCGCAGTGGGTTTCGATCACGGTACCTTGAATTACGAGTCGGACTCGCAACACCTTAGCCACGGATTGGCGCTAGACGAAAAGTAAACCTATTTTCTACAATGTCTCCAAGTTTCATCTTATTCTAACCACTTGTTTGCATCTAACTAATATTTTTCTATATCATGTTTTTTTTTTTTTGTGTGTTAATGCCCAGGAGCTTAGGTATAGGGGGCAGTTAGGTTCAAGGCCTCAGGTCTGGTAGGGTTAATACTAATGAAATGAATTACTGTACTTTAATTATGGACAAAATTAATGTTTATATTTAATTCTGGATAACACTGATATCATGAATTTCTAACTTAACCACTGATAACATGAATTTTTATATTTAAATATCCATAACATGAATTGCTATACTTTAATTATAGATAACATGAATTCTTATTTATTGTTCATTGTTCATTTAAAGATCTTCATCACACATCGGACATGACCAAAAGTGATCCAATTTCTTTCTGAGTATGTCCTCAAATGTTTTCAGGCTAACAACGGGTGGCTTCTCCCAAGGTATGCAATGCAGTCTATTCAGTGAAAAATCATTTTCAATGAAACTGAAAGCCACACAGCATTTAGTCTCTTGTATGGCACTGATGATGTCTCTCCTGTCCATAGGTGACCCATTCCCGACAGTCGCACTGCCAGCCAGTGTGTCTGCTCTCTCACTACCTTTAACACTAGCATGCCATCGGACACAAATGAAGGGGATTTTTGTAAAAAGCTGCGGGCTGTATCAGAAGGAGCCACTGTTTCTGTATATCCCCTGCCCTGATCTTCTGTAGCAAGCTCATTGAGTCGCTGAGAAAGCCTGCATTGGTGAATTCCTGAGTTTTCAGCCATTCAAGGGCCTCTGTCACAGTCATGACCTCCACTGTCAGGCTGCTGATGGAGAAGCAAAAGCTCCGCTGTCTTCTTTACTGACTTTTCCTTTAATTCCTGCCATGAAAGCTCATGCACTTGGCTTATGATGAATCACAGAACCATCCGTATAAATTTTTTTCTTCTTCGCATATACCAGCTGTAAATTGGCAAAAAAGTCCTGGTTGTTCGTCCACTTCTGGGCTGCAGCCCTGGTCCAGATGATGAGTGTTGTGTGCACACCTGTTTTACAGATCTGGCTCATTTGTGTGCAGGCTGTTGGTTCCTTGCCTCACAGGCAGACGCACTCCGACTTCAAAGGAAGCTCCCAATTAGTCTACTCTTACGACATGCTTTTGTGCAGGCAGTGGGTTTATTCTTTGTTTCCCCCCTATAATAGGGCCCCGGAACGCACACGGGGATAATTGTATATACAAGAGCACTTTCTGGTGATGAGTGTTCCTCCACCAATGCTTTCACTTCTGCATCAACTACTGGTGGCGCCAAATCACACCATTGTCTTGTCAGGGTGATAACCACCACAAAACACTGCTCGTATGGAAAGCCATTCCTCTTCGCGGTTTATGTCTTGAAGGAATCATAACCGCAGAATCAGAAGTTCAACAAATGATTCATGAAAATGCTCACCCAGGTGATGTGATTGTATATACAGATGGCTCTGTGTTGAGGGGCAGACGAAGTTTATAGGGTTTCATAGCAAAGGCAAATGGACGTCGCCTAGTGCAGCAAAGCTGGACATGTGCTATCACAACGTCTAGTTTGAGAATGCAGGTGGAGGCAGTCACTGCTGCCTTCCGCTGGCCTAAGAATAAGCTGTACACACATGCCATGATTGTAACTAACTCACAGAGCATGCTGAGAAAGGACAAGACAGGCATGCTCTGTACAAAGTGGCAAGCATTACTTCAGAGGTTCTGGGCAGTTGGAAAATGAGCAGGCAGATAGACTGGCCAGTTTTGCACCGCTTGGTGGTGAACTGATGTATGATAAGCTGGATGTTGTGAGGACTCTTTGGGAGCGAGTGAACAGGCCGAGGCACAGATAGATCAATATGGTCTGGGGAGAATAGTGCTGTGAGGAGTTACAAGGGGATTTTAACTCAGGGGAAAGGTGGGACAGATAATACAATCAGACAATTACTGATGCCATCAGAATCTGAACTCTTTGCTTGCTGCTGAAGATGGGGATGGAGTACTAATGGGGGTGCCCCGAGTGATGTGATGTTGATTCTTATTTCAACATTTTTGTCTTAAAGGGAAATCACCAGTTGAAGTACTGGCTCTGCAAGGCCCAACCAAGACTGGCCCCATTTAAGTCTGTTGCCTTTACGTGTTGTACTCAGTTCATTATGTAGTAAAGTAAAGGACCCTTTTCCACACCTAGGGCTAGACCTATATTATATAGACCAATGGCACAAGATGGGCGATGTGGTCAGCATTACACTGGCCGCCTTTACTTCCCGTGGTTGCACCCGGTATCCACTCAAGGCTGGGTCACCCTGGGAGCCAAGGTCATTTTTGAGAAAAGTCCGTCTCCACCAGGGAGCGGACTCATGACCTTCTGATCTGCGGTGAGCATCTAGCCGCTCCGCCACGCGACTCCCGAATCAGTAAGACCTCCGTGATTTTGAGGTAGGCATACGCTCTGCGAATTTCATTTCATCTTATTTAATTACCAATAACCTGGCTTCTGAGAGACACGCAGACAGAAAAAGACAGGTTGAACCAAACTAGTAAGTGTCGTAAACTGATCAAGACTATCCAAAAGTATCATTTTATTGTAAAGAAGCTTTTAACAATGTTTTATTATTTTGTTTCCCAGGTGTTTAAACTTTCCTTGCACATCTTGTTTCATCCTCCTTTGCATCTCTTTCTTTGCAATTTCCCCACATAAGGCTTATCTCTCGACTGCACCTCCTTCACACAAATGATAGGGACCCATATCTCGTAAACAAGTTATAGACAAGTCGGGAGAGTAACATTTACAGAGAACTGGACCCTACCGCAAGTGTCGGTTCTGCAGCTCCTTGTGCCAAAAATTTAAGATATTCTGACAAGCTCCTCCCTGTAACATTTCTATACTGAATTCTTAGTTGTCTTCCTTACCTCAGTGGATCACTCCACAAAAGCTCCCCCCCCCCCCCCCTGTAACATTTCTATATTGAATATTAAGTTGTCTTCCTTACCTCAGTGGATCACTCCACAAAAGCTCCCCCCTGTAACATTTCTGTACTGAATTCTAAGTTGTCTTCCTTACCTCAGTGGATCACTCCACAAAAGCTCCCCCCTGTAACATTTCTATACTGAATTCTAAGTTGTCTTCCTTACCTCAGTGGATCACTCCACAAAAGCTCCCCCCCTGTAACATTTCTATACTGAATTCTAAGTTGTCTTCCTTACCTCAGTGGATCACTCCACAAAAGCCCCCCCCCCCCCGTAACATTTCTATACTGAATTCTAAGTTGTCTTCCTTACCTCAGTGGATCACTCCACAAAAGATCAACCCTGTAACATTTCTATACTGAATTCTAAGTTGTCTTCCTTACCTCAGTGGATCACTCCACAAAATATCCCCCCTGTAACATTTCTATACTGAATTCTAAGTTGTCTTCCTTACCTCAGTGGATCACTCCACAAAAGCTCCACCCTGTAACATTTCTATACTGAATTATAAGTTGTCTTCCTTACTTCAGTGGATCACTCCACAAAAGATAAACCTATAACATTTCTATACTGAATTCTAAGTTGTCTTCCTTACCTCAGTGGATCACTCCACAAAAGCTCCCATGCCAGAGGGCTCTCTAACTCTGGGTCTGACAGCGGAGATGGGATTCTGTTGATGGCTTCGATGTTTCCTCCCTCGTTCTCTGGGCTGGGGATCCCACCGTGGACACAGAACACCTGCAATAGACATGATTTTTTTAAATACAACTTTAGCCAGTCTCAGTCATCAGGCAGTGTTTTACTATTTCTAGAAAGTCATCCAGGGAATCAGACTAGCAAGTTGTAAAAGATGTAACGATCGTTGATAAGCTCTGTCAAAGGCACTTTCAAGATTGATGTTCATTTCTGTTGGAAGGCAGAAACTGGATCTTGATAAACTTAAATTCTTCAGGGAGGTCATCTTGTAGGCCTGGATGATGGGCAGGAGCATTATCCATAACAAGCAAAACATGAAGTGGCAGATTTATCTCAAGCAAATATTTTTTCACAGAAGGACCAAACACTTCCTAGATCCACTCAGTAAAAAGGTCACGTGTCACCCAAGCCTTCCTGTTGGACCTCCACATCACATTTAGCCTGCTCTTCTGGTCTTTGCATTGAAGGCTTGTGGAGTTCCTGAATGGTAAACAAGCAGCAGTTTAATTTTCAAACTGCCGCTCGCATTGGCACAAATAAGCAACGTGAGACAAGTCTTTCATCGGCTTGTGGCCTGGCAATGAATTCTCTGCTGTTATATATGTTCACTTCGGCATCTTTTTCCAGAAGAGACCTGTTTCGTCATAATTAAAAACCTGTTGCGGCAAGTAACCTTCAGAATCTATGAGCTTCTTGAAATCGCCAATGAAGTTCTCTGCTGCTTTTGTGTCGGAACTTGCTGCTTCACCGTGCCTCACAACGCTGTGGATGCTGGTTCTCATCTTGAACTTCTCGAACCACCCACGGCTTCCCTAAAACACTTCTTCTTCGGCCGTAGATGATCCTGACCTTTTTTTTAGCGAGGCTGGCGAAAATCATTATCATTTTCGCCTTCTCACAAATGACGTTCTTGTTAATAGTGTCACCTTGCAATTGCTTTTTATTTATCCATGTCAGAAGCAACCTTTCAACATCCTTTAGAATACGTAACCATTGCGCAGATATTCTTGTCACTCCCTGTGAAGAATCTAACTTCTTAATCTTGTCCTTGTTCTTGAGGACAGTGCAAATCGCTGATGTAGACCAATTGTATGTGTGTGCTAAAACAGCCACGCTTACACCTTGTTCTCGCTTTTCAATGATTTGATGTTTGATTTCTATGGTTATTTTTACTCTTATGACTATTTTTTTTTTTTGTCGGGGACATGTTTGCAAGGGTTTATTAATCTTTTCACACACAAAAATTACCTATCTATTTGCTAATTATCTTCCTAATAATTAATTCAATTAATTTTTACTTATGTACATATAACACAATATAACACAAGTTTGAGAAAATGTGTGATCACAAGCGACACTAAGATGCTACTGGAACAAGTGCTAAACACATACTGATATAACATGCGCACAATCCGGGACTTCCCCTCTCCTCGCCACTCATTTTGCAAAACGTTGCTCGTTAAGCAAGTCATTCTTTTACAATTTGTTTTGCTCGTTATGCGAATTACTCGTTTTGAGAGGTGCTTGTTAATCGAGGTTCTACTGTATAATGATTACCATATATAAATGACTTGGAGATGAACAGTGTTATTTTAAATATCATTTGTACAAGGGATCCCCCCCCCACCTCCCCCAACACACACACAAAACAACATGGTAATATATAAAAAAAATTGCATTAAAAAAAAAAAACTTGTATCGAATATTCTGACTAGTCAGCCAAAATACTGCAAGTCTGCAAAGACAGCCTTTTCTTCTCTGCTCACTCTTAAAAAAGCAGCTGGCATGTTTTGTTATAGTGTACTGCCGAGCTGCAATATTTACGCCTTTCAACCCAACACACCCGATTTCAGCAGATCCTTAACAGGTCCTATTTTACAACATGCTTCTTTAGGGGCAGAGGGACAAATACAACATTCTTCCTCAATATGAGGGCCTAGAACAGGAACCTACAGAGGGACAAATACAACATTCTTCCTCAATATGAGGGCCTATAAGAGAAACCTACTGAGGGACAAATACAACCTTCTTCCTCAATATGAGGGCCTATAAGAGGAACCTGCAGGGGGACAAATACAACATTCTTCCTCAATATGAGGACCTATAAGAGGAACCTGCAGAGGGACAAATACAACATCCTTCCTCAATATGAGGGCCTAGAACAGGAACCTACAGAGGGACAAATACAACATTCTTCCTCAATATGAGGGCCTATAAGAGAAACCTACTGAGGGACAAATACAACCTTCTTCCTCAATATGAGGGCCTATAAGAGGAACCTGCAGAGGGACAAATATAACATTCTTCCTCAATATGAGGGCCTATAAGAGGAACCTGCAGAGAGACAAATACAACATTCTTCCTCAATATGAGGGCCTATAAGAGGAACCTGCAGAGGGACAAATACAACATTCTTCCTCAATATGAGGCCCTAGAACAGGAACCTGCAGAGGGACAAATACAACATTCTTCCTCAATATGAGGCCCTAGAACAGGAACCTGCAGGGGGGCAAATACAACATTCTTCCTCAATATGAGGGCCTATAAGAGGAACCTGCAGAGGGACAAATACAACATTCTTCCTCAATATGAGGCCCTAGAACAGGAACCTGCAGAGGGACAAATACAACATTCTTCCTCAATATGAGGCCCTAGAACAGGAACCTGCAGGGGGACAAATGCAACATTCTTCCTCAATATGAGGCCCTAGAACAGGAACCTGCAGAGGGACAAACACAGCTTTTTCTGAGACTGTGGTCAACCTCTAAAATCAAGGAAGATTGTCAAGTAAACAGCATCTTGTCTCCGAAACTGAAATATTTTGGCCAATCAAGCGAAATGGCAGATTGGAAAGAATGGTAGTGGCAGGCAGAGGCTGACCGTTATGAAGATGGGCACAGAATTAAGACAAGTAAAGTAAGACAAGTGGTAGGAAAGCACCAGGTGAGAGTTTGAGGCACCCCCTCCCCCCACCCCCCCCAGACAGCTTGTGATAACAGTGATTTTCTACAAAGGCCCAGCTACATGATGCTGATGACGTGCCCAACAGACTATAGTCTAGAACTTACTTTATCATCCACTGTTGCTGCTATGGGCATGACATCAAAGCACTCGTTGACAGCATCCCAGATCTGCATTCCCACTGTGTCCCCAAACTTCTCCAGGCACTCGCTGCAGACAGTGTTGTACACAACAGATTTATTTATTATAATATAAAACTGACCTGCATTTCCTTTTGAGGATCTGCATTTCCTTCTAAGGACCTGCATTTCCTTCTGAGGACCTGCATTTCCTTCTGAGGACTTGCATTTCCTTCTGAGGACCTGCATTTCCTTCTGAGGATCTGCATTTCCTTTTGAGGATCTGCATTTCCTTCTGAGGACCTGCATTTCCTTCTGAGGACTAGCAAACCAGAATTTTACTGGCTGTAGTATGGTTTTACTAAATCATTTTTCAATCAGTTGTGATTAAGTTATCACAATTGACGTCACTGAACACGGTGGTCAGATGACAGTCTGGAGTAAAAATTTGTTTTAGCAGTTTAAAAAAATGTACCTTTCCACCCCTATAGGCATTTTGGGAATATAGGGCTAGACCTATATTCCTATAGACCAATCGGCACTTGGTGGGTAATGTGGTCAGCATCAGGCCGGCCGCTTTTACTTCCCAGGAGTGCATTTCGCACCACTCAAGGCTGAGTCAACCTGGGAGTCAAGGTCATTTTTGAAAAAGGTCTAGCTCTGTAAGGATGCAAAACGACAACCTTCCGATTCACAGGGGGGCATCTAGCCACCAACGCCACAGCGACTCCCATTGTAGCAGTATACAGTTTTGAATTGGCACCTTTCTGTTATGTTATGTTGTCACAGTTGATGTCACTGCATACTTGGACGTTCCCAAGCCTGCTCATTCCTCTCATGCAGCAGCCACTCTCAGGTACCTCTAGTGATTTCTCCTATGAGGATGTGGTTACAGAATCTCCTGTCCTGGCTTCACCAAACTTTACTCCCAGGTCACACAATCAGGTTAACGTCACAGATTCATCATTATAGTTTTAAAATTAGTTCCATATTTTTTACAGGATGTTGCATTTTTGGGGCTGGTGCGGTTTTTCTAGGCAAATTTACGTTCAGTAGTTTGCCATTGCTTCCTGAACGGTCAGCTCTCGGTACCACTGCTGAAACCAATGCAAGACGCTCTGCTGCCAAATCGCCTTCAGCCGGGATCGAACCCAGCACCCCAGCATTAAAAAGCACGTTCGCAAAGCCCAAGCCACAGATTCCGACACTATTATAGTAATACAGTTATACTGACAAAATGATTACATACACAGGGTGCACGCTACTTATGGGGTACGTACGATTTGAAATGAAACATCTCCTGCACACTCCTCAGTTCATGGTTGCCCCTCAACATAAAGAATTTATGTGGTGCCAGCAGCTTTTGAGCAAACAGGTAGGAAACCACCTGTCAGGTGATCACAACAAGGTTTATACGTTAAGACATGAACACTGCTGAACCATAATACAACACACCAAATGTTGGATTCACTAACTAAACTAAGGATTCTTTTTAGGCCAGGGGTGTATGACAGACCAACTGACAGTCAGTGGGTTATGTGGTCAACTTTAATACAGCCGCCTTTACTTCCTATGATACTATCTCCTGCACACTTCAGGTCTGGTCGACCATGAGCCTAGGTTTATTCTGAAAAAAATCTGCCCTGGAACAAATTTGGAAATTTTCCCTCAGGAAAAACTGATTGCAAATTGTTAAATCACAATGCAATTAAAATCAAATGTTTACTGGACAATACTGATACCCAGTCAAAAATGTTGATTTAGTCACAAAAACAATGAAACCAAATGTTGCTCTCATGATTTGTTAATGACACTGCCCTAATCTTCATTACACCCGCAGAAAGATATCTTCTTCTTCTTTGTTCACAGGCTGTAAGCCTTGGCAGAAAGTCCTGGTTGTTCGTATATTTGAACTTTGACTTTGTGCCAGGACTTAAGTTTTGTGTGTAAATCCATTTAACTGGTTTATTTATGTGCAAATGGTTGTTCCTTGCCGCTCGAGCAGATGCACTCCGACTTCAAAGGTAATCCCCAGTTAGTCGACTCCTACAACATGCTTACTGGGAAGGCTGTGAGTCTATTCTTGTTTGGGGCTCCGGAACCCACACTGGGAGAAAAAGATATGAGAAATGAACATCTATTAATATCATTGTTGCTTCAGTTAAAATAACTTGCTCTTTTGGCTAATATAATATAGTCTTTATTGCCTAAGTTATACAATTTAATATGTGCCTTTTATTTATGTCAATGTCATAGCCCTTTGTGATCAACATAATACAGTCTATGTAATCAATACAATTTAGTCTCCCCAGTTGTAATCCAGTTCCCCCTAGACAACATATTCTCGTCCCCAGTGACAACATATCCCAACTTCCCTAGACAACACATTCTGGGGTCCATAAACAATATATCCCAGGCTCACTCTCTAAACAACGTAGACCTGGCATGTCAAACTGAGAGTCCTTCAAGTGTTGTATCTGTATTGTCATGAGGTACACACACGACAACCAGCTGGAGTCATTTAATAAAAATTACTGAGAATATCTACTCTGTGGATCACAGATGTGCTTGCAAAGGGCCACACATGCCCACGGGTCGCCAGTTTGACATGCCTGCCTTAGCCTTCTAGACATTACCTAGCCTACCTAGAAAACATTAAACAGTCTCTATGGTAAAGATTATACAGCCTTCTTGATCAATAAAACAATACACAATAGAACAGACTTGCCTCAATGCCATAGTCCCCACGATCAACATAATCTCCAAGAAACAAGAAAGAGGCCGGGGTCAGGTTTGGACCCATCCTCCACAAGGCCTTCTCAAAGGTGACCAGGTCACAGTAGTTTCCATGAATGTCACCTGCAACAATACCAAAATAATCATATTCCCAAAACAGAAAACACTAATGCAATCATATTTACAAAACAACCACAGCATAATTATCACCTTCTTATGTAACAATAAACAAACAAAATTACACCTGTAATGGCATTGGTGATATGATTATTTTAACAAAGTATGAAAACTTACAGGATACCCAGTAGTTATAATGTAAACAACGAGATTAAAGAGCACTACAGAGCCAGAAAAGAGCACTAGACCAAATTTGAAATGCACTCTTGACTTCGAAGGAAACCCCCAGTTAGTCAACTCCTGCGACATGCTTGTTGGAGGAGGGGGGGGGGGGGGGGATTAGGGTAGTTGAAGTACTGTATTTTTACTCGAAATCAATCAAGTCCAATACCTTGTCATTGCTCCCAGAACTAAGATACTGACCCTTCCTGTGTGGTTTGAGGGTGCCATTAGTGAGAACAAAGAATAAAAACCCCCCCCCCCACCCCCCCACAGGTCGTAGGAGGCAAATAATCAGGAATGGTTCCTTCAAAGTTGGAGTGCATCTGATTGAGAGGCAGCGAACGAACAGACTGCATACAAATAAGCTAGATCTGTAAAACAGATGTGCATGCAAAACTCGTTCTAGAACAAGACCAAAGCCCAGAAGTGGACATTGAGCCAGAACTGTCTGCCAGAGTTTACAGCCGGCCAACAATAAGAAAAACAAGGGTCACCTTTTAGCACACATTTGACATGAAGCAGTGGCTCTACTCACTCCCACGCCTTCCTTTCCCAAAATGGGGTAACTGACCGACTGTATTTTCACCTGAACCCACATGCCAAATGTCACTTCATTACTTCCATACCCACATGTCAAATGTCACTTCATTACTTCCATAACTAAAATACTGACCCAGAATGTAACAGGGCGATCTCAGCTTCAGCAATCTCGGCTCCCCAGCCAAAACTTCCTTGACTTGTCTACATACAGTCAGCAGGCATTTTGCCAAGGCATTTCTGTCCACCTGGCCCCAATCAAAGGCAGGCTAGAAAGAAAAGAACAGAAATATCAACTTCAGAAAATGGCATGGCAGACTTAGCAATGGACAGGACTAAGTTATCATACACTTATTCATCAAGCGGAAGACAAAGAAAGATGGCGGATTTTATTTACTAGTGCTTCCATCAATACACCTCCACGATCCTAATGGGCCAAGGGTTATGTTATGTTATGGCAGATGCACAATGTCAATGTGGTTTTTACAAGTTTCTTTCTGTTCTACTCTAAAGTATTGTCAGTTTCAAGATGGAACATTTCTTTCAAGATAACGTTCAAGAGAAGTGTTGAGCAAAATAAATGCCCCACGGCCTTTTTATTTGGTGTACACCCATATGTGCCCTAAACACATACACATAACTACATTACTTATATATATATATATATATATATATTGTTGCTGTTGTTGGTGACGATGACCAGTCCTTCATCCAATAGTGAGTGGATTAGGTTTTGTGAGTGCGCAGGTGGCTGATAAGGCTAATTCTAGCACTGAAAGTTTTTGAGCAGTGTGGATAGGGAATAGAAGCCACTTCTCTCTGGTGGTTTGCTTCAGTGTCATTCCTGGTTTGTCATTTCTGAACTGCTGATGCAGTTTTAGCAGCTTCATGTGCCAGAAATGACACCATGGAAATAAGATGAAGAGAGGAGTGTCAGGATGAGCGGTCAAATGCAGCGACTTCAATACATATATATATACACACACACGCACAAAACACAAACACAGAGAGAGAGAGAGAGAGAGAGAGAGAGAAAGAGAGAGAGAGATAGAGTGTGTGTGTGTATGTGTGTGTGTTCCACAAGTGTCCATACAGAGAAAAACACATTTCGATGTGCCTCCACCACTGCTAAAGAAAACATGTATAAGCACAGCTGGAGTTATGTGTGTAATGGCGTTGGTGATATAATAATTATTCACACGTACGGAAATTGATGGGACACAGTGTATGTTAATGACAGTTGTGGATGAGCAAGATTACTCATGCCACTTGATGACAGTGATGAAGATAATGATGATGGTGTATACATACCTTGGGACCAACTCCATTATCCCCTTTTGTTGCTCTCTCAAAGTAGCGGAGACCAGTCAACATTTCATTGGGGTGGGATCTCTAAGGGGACAACATAAAACAAAGTTTCTTGGTTACAGGTACAACCATGATCTAGAATTTTTTTTATCAGCACAAAATCAGAAAGGCATGTCTGGGCGAAGCACAGTTAATGCTGGCATGTTCCATCTTTCCCAATGACAGTATTATACTGTCTAAGGTATGAGAATCACAAACATAGCCCAAAACCTAGGCAGATGGCCTGCCTTGTTTACTAACCACCATTATGTTAAGAACAAAGCTTGCTGCGGAAGCTGCTGGATCAAAATAAGAGGTTCTCTGCCCGTCATAGCTTCTCTCCTAGACCAGTTACCAGTCTACTGGCAAGTCATCGACCTGGCTGCTTCCGGATACTAAGCTAAGTGATTTTGTGTATTTGTGTGGTATTGTTTGATTTATGTATGTGCTGATAAAGGCTCCATAGCTGCAACGTTCACGTTTTGTTTGTGTTTATTATATTCCTGCTGATATACTTTTCATTGAGTTTTATATCTTTTCTAGACCAGTTACCAACCAAGTCTGAGGGCCTGGTTAGCATTAAGCAGAGATAACAACCCAATGGATTTTTATTGCAACAAAGAGACAAAATTAAATGTTAAATAAAAAAATTGACATCACAGCACACGGTACACCCCATAAGCGCTTCGTCCCTATCTTCAGCAGCAAGCGAAGAGTACCAATTCCAATGGCGCCAGTAAATGTCTGACTGTATATCTGTCTCGCCTTTCCCCTGAGTGTTAAGCGCCGGCCAGATCCCCTTGTAACTCCTCGTAGCGCCATTCTCCTTAGACCATAATGATCTATCTGTGCCTCCACACTGTTCACTCGCTCCCAAAGAGCTCCCACAACATCCAGCTTGTCATACATCAGTTCACCACCAAACAGTGCAGAGCCAGCCAGTCTATCTGCCTGCTCACTTCCCAACACACTGGCATGACCTGGAGAAAATACCCAAAGGATGCTAACTACCTGGGACCTCTGAAGTGATGCTTGCCACTCTGCACGGAGCATGCCTGTCTCACCTTTCTCAACATGCTCTGCGAGTCAGTTACAATCACTGCATGTTTGTACAGCTGATTTTCAAGCCAGCTAAAGGCAGTGACTGCCTCCACCTTCATTCTCAAACTAGACGTTGTGATATCATATGCCAGGCTTTGCTGCACCAAGTGACCTCCATTTGCTTTTGCTATGAACCCCGATGCCCCTCAGCACAGAGCCATCTGTGTAGATAATGACATCACCAGGGTGGGCATTGTCATAAATGATTTCTTGAACTTCTGATTCTGCAGCACCTGCTGGCCAGTTCCTGCACTCAAGACTCAAACTGATGAGAACCCTACACAAGTCTGAAACTTGGGAAAGGAGACTGAATTGAAGAGAAGCATCAACAAAAACACTGAGAAATGACTAGAGGCTTTCATATGAAGAGAAAGCATGCCGCTTTTTCTTTTTTCTGTGTCTGCCCTTGAATGGTTGTTGGTTTACAGCCAGGCTGCAATATCTTCACCTTTCAGTACATACATTACGTTGTGGTTTACAGCCAGGCTGCGATATCTGCCCTTTTTGGCCCAACACATCTGATTTCAGCCAACCCCCATTAGTGGCCTTTTACAACATTCTTATTTAGATTATTTAGATACTTAGATACAGTGGGTCTATTTTTTTTTCCACCCAAAATGGGAGCACAGAACCCATATGGGGATCCATACCTCTGATTGTTACTCCTTTCTGTTTTTACCACAAGTATTAATCTAAGCAAGTGAATTTATCTCTCAAGCTAAATAAACATGCCCCAGATCTCTCTCTCTCTCTCTCTTTTTATTTATTTTTTTATTTAAAAATCTTCTCAGCAATTCTAGAGATCGAAGGATTATAGAGAGAAGGACCTACAGAAACTCACCACATTGAAGGCATCAATAGAATGAAGTCTCTGGAAGGATTATAGAGAAAAGGACCTACAGAAACTCACCACATTGAAGGCATCAATAGAATGAAGTCTCTGGAAGCGGGACACATCTCCCTCCAGATGGTTGTTGGCGCTCCCACTGACAGCTGCTGTACCTGAAACACAATTTCCTAAGGGATCAGTACACCAGTAAGGGAGTTCTAGAAATAGCTGGAACATTCTAGGCTCTTCACAAAATCACAAGACGTCGGATGTGTTGGGCTGAAAAGCGCGTGTATCACTGCCTAGCTGTAAATCACAACACAATGTGCCAACCACACTTGTAAGAGCAAATACAGGAGAAGAAGAGGTTTATAACCTTTAACAAATGTGAAAATCTTTAATAGTAACTACTATCTGCTCAAACCAGCAGTCAGTCCCGTCTGAAAACCAGTGAAAAATATGCCAGCAAAATCTTAAAGTTCACACATGCAAAGTGAATGCATAAGGCAACTGTCTGCAGAGATCAACACACAGCTCCATTGTTCTTGTGATTTTGTGAGCAAGTTTCAAACACTCTCATGTTAAGTTTAAAATTATTATCAAATACCTGGCCCTACAAGATTATTATTAGCCTTTGTGTCAGATATCAAACATTTTAATCTCACCTTTTTGACAGTCTCAATCTTGTTCTAATGGTCGGTAATGTTCCTAGGCCAATTTCTTTACCTAAGAATTTGCATTCCACTAATTTTCAGATGTGTATGACCTTTCCAAGACTATGGTCCAAGTTTGATCCTTAAAGCACGAATGAACAGGAAAAAAACTGGCCATGAGCCCGTGTGAATGTCCCAGAAAAATCCTTACAACCACAACTGTTTTGCAAGTGTAACTAATAAAGTGTTTAAAAATGTATCTTCCATTATTTTTAATTTTTGTTTTTAAATATCTAAAAAATATGTAAAGGGAGTAATAAAAAAATAAAAAAAAAGAAAAGAGTGAAGCATTAAATGGTGTGCATTACAAGGGCATAAAACAAATATACATCGGGTCACTCGTGCTGTAACCTCATGACCTCAATCACTGAAGCTTAACGGAAAATATCAAGTCACCATGTTTTAAAAAAGCTATTGATTCACAAGGGAACTGCTCTAATGCTATATTTAGTTAATAGATTCACAAACAATATGCAGGTGCACACAGAACCAACTGTATTAAACTACACATTTCAAGAACATATCATTGCAGAAATGGCAATATACTGACTAGATTCAGCCTTCCCGGGGCGACATGGCGACTCCACTTTATCAACAGAAATCTCTTTATATCAAGCAGTACGGGTTAACCCAGTCTGATAAATACGGGCACTAATATTTTTCTGGAAAAAATTAGAGATGGACAGGTAGAGAGCTTGTGAACCATCCTACCTTATTATGACATGACCTAAAAGATGCTAACATTCAACATTTGCTACTTCAATGAAGAAGTGACTATAAGACACAGGAACCTAATCTGTACACTACTTCACCTAATAATAATAGTATACCTTAAAAGTATTTTCTCTGACCCACAGAACAACAGAAATAGAGGCTTTGAACACAGAGAGACGAGAAGCAGTGACAGAGATAAATAATACAAAAAAGGCAAGGAAAAATAGTTAAAGAAAGGCATGAGTTGGGAGATGGCCTTTGATTCAGTTAGTTGCGTATCCTTTACAGGATGTTGCAGAACCAACTCCAGCATTTTTTGGCCGTTGTGGTTTTTTCAAGGCAAATTTTACGCTGAGTAGTTTGCCACTGCTTTCTGAATGATCAGCTCTCGGTACCACTGTCAAAACCAATGCAAGGCAAACCGTCTGCAGCTGGGATCGAACCCGGCACTACGAAGCCTAAGAAACAGACGCCAATGACTCATGATTCAATGGAGGACAAAAAGCAGGAAGAAGAACAAGAGCTCACCCTGTAGATCCCACAAGGCCATGACCTCGGCCAGTGTCCCTGTACGTTTCACCCTGACCGTGTGTGTTGCCAGATCATACTTTGCCACTTTGGATGTCACCGACGATGGAGCTCTTCCTTCAGGCTGTTTAAACAACGAGTCTGAAAATATTTTTTCAGTGTAAAAATGAGAAAGGTTGTGTAAACTGCAAAAGCTGATAATGTTCCGTCTGCAGAAAATAAATCTGACAATATTTAAATGGTTCTTCTGCATCACCTTTGTGTGCACCTGCTGTAAAACTCCACCGGAAAATTCTGGATGTTCCACATCTGGATACTGATCTTGTTCCTGAATATGAATTTTAAAGAGCAGTGGATCTACCCCATTTTCCATGGGTCCCCAGAACCAACACAGGGTAGTTTAAATATTTAACAGGATGAGGAAACAGGCAAGAATGTATTAGTGTGTGTGCATTTTTAGGTGTATGCAAGGTAAGTTAAAAATCCACCATCACTAACAAACTTTCAAAAAGTAGCCAAATACGCTAATGCCCTGGCAAATGTCTGAAAATTATGAACAGAGCGGATAACATCACCTCTGACGAAAATGGCCTTGATAAAGTTACAGGAATTAATCAACTAAATGACTGATTCCAATGAAGCGAGGTACTGAATTCATGGCCTTGGTAAAATCACAGGAATTAATCAATCAAATGACTGATTCCAATCAAGCAAGTTAGTGAATTCGTGGCCTTGGTAAAATCACAGGAATTAATCAATCAAATGACTGATTCCAATCAAGCAAGTTAGTGAATTCATAGCCTTGGTAAAGTCATGGGAATTAATCAATCGAATGAGATTCCAATCAACTGTCACTGACTTGAGAATCCAGCAATGTCACTGATCTCAATCTAGCCACTAATCGCGTAATCATATCATTTCCAGTACTATATTCTGCCCAGTTTGTGATGTCTTTCTGTTTCCCCTCCCCTTCACCGTCTGCCTTCAACTTTTGCTCGGAAGACAATTACCAACAAGACAGCAAAGTGTGAATCACACTGATGTGTTAAGAACTGACATCGAAGCCTCAGGACATTCCCATAAGTGCTCTGTCTCCATCTTCAGCAGCTAGCGAAGAACTCCAATAGTACCAGTAGCAGTCTGACTGTCCTTTTTACCTCTCCTCTCAGGGCTGATTAACAGCCTGATCTTCTGGTCACTCCCCACTGCGCCATTCTCCCCAGACCATTACCATCCATTCGCACTTATGTATTGGTCACATGCTACCAAAAGGCCTTGACTACATCTAGCCTTTCTTGCATCAATTCACCACACAGTGGTGCAGCCCCAGCCGGTTTGTTTCCCAGTTAACAAAAAATGAGCAAAATTGTGTTTATCAATAGAATTAATTATTTGTTGAATCATAAAATGGCTAAGTAATGCAAAGTTGGGTACATGTCGCCACACATGAAACACCAACCTTCTTTGTCTTGTTTTGACTCTTTCGGTTTCAAGGAATGTAACAATTTTGGCCGGGACCGTTTTGTGGGTGGCTCCTCTTTACTGTCACTATCACTGTCGCTGTATGGGACTCCTTCTCGAGCTCTGAAATGATAAAGACAGGATGTTTTAGTCCTCTGATACATCTCGCTATTACAAACAGAACACATCATTTCACCATTGAAACAACTGCCAGTAAAAAAAATATAGCGGAATCAACCAAGCATATACTAACAATATGCTGTTTATCACCAGTCAAAGTCTTAGAATACCATGCACCAAGAAGAAGACAATCATTGACATCCTGTATGATTTGATGAACATGAAGAAAAACTGGCTCATAAACAGCATTCTCTCCCGAAAGCTGAAGTATTATGGACATGTCAAGTGCCGTGGTGGTCTGGAGAAAACAGTGATGGAGGTGCAGCTTCCGGAAAATGAGGCAGAGGCCAACATACTGGAAGGGGGAGACAAGACACTGAAGACGCATTGGCTGTGAAAGCACATAGGGCTGGAGATGTGGCTAGAGAAAAACTTTCAGGCGTGCATGTAAAGGATCTGTGGACTGACAGACTATCATTTTACATAAACATCTCAGTATGAGAGAAAAAAATTCATTTCTGAGTTTTTGCCTTTTCAGTCAACATTCTTTTTTCTACCATATGACCAAATCTACAATGCCTCAGTGACTAAGTCATATCCAAGGCCTTAGAATGCTACGTACCCCATACCCAAGGCCTTCCAATGCTACGTATCTCATATCCAAGGTGTTCAATGCTACTTATATCATATCCAAGGCCTCCTAATGCTAGGTATCTTACATCCAAGGCCTCCCAATGCTTCGTATTCCATATCCAAGGCCTTCCAATGCTTCATATCTTTTTTCCAAGGCCTCCCAATGCTACTTTTTATATCCAAGGCCTTCCAATGCTACGTATCTCATATCTAAGTCCTCCCAATACTACGTATTTTATATCCAAGGCCTTCCATGCTACATATCTTATATCCAAGGCCCCCTATACTACGTATCTTATATCCAAGGCCTTCCATGCTACGTATCTTATATCCAAGGCCCCCAATACTGCGTATCTTATATCCAAGGCCTTCCAATGCTACCAACTCATATCCAAGGCCTTCTGATGCTTTGTATCTTATTTCCAAGGCCTCCCGATGCCACATATCTTATATCCAAGGCCTCCCAATGCTACTTATCTTATATTGAAGGTATTCCGATGCTGCGTATCTTATATCCAAAGCCTCCCAATGCTACGTATCTTAAGTAATTAATGACTATTTATAAATTGTTAAAACAAAAAAAAACAACATCTCAATAAACACATGTAGAGAATGTGACAACAAAACTCACAAGCGGAGATTGGTCATACACGACTGGGGTAACCGAAACAAGATGGATGTGCCTCGGAACTTCAGCGAGCCTACAGCTGTCAGGAAATCTGCGCTAGGCAGCTGATCTTTGACCTCTTCACCAAATAACCTTTAAAAAAAACAGTATTCAAACTTCCTGGCTTTTAAAAAAAACCAAACAACATTCAGTGATTTTTAAAAATACTGTAGACATCTCTGGTTGATTCAGACAGGAATATTTCTGTATTTAAATAAACATCACATAGCAAACTTAACGCTCAACTCCCGATCAACAAATAGGGGGTATGCATCAGCAAGTGCTGGCTGGAAACAACTTTCCCTAATGTCAGCTGTACGCTGGCGAAGCGTCATATTGAACCAGAAGATGTTCTGGTCAAAAGGCGCAATTATCAAAGCTATAAACAGACAAAACGAAATTACGTCTACCGTACGAACAAAAAATAGAATAAATGTGTCAAAGTATTCAATGCCATAGTGGAATAGATGTATCACATTATTCTATGCTGCAGGAGAATAAATGTGTCACAGTATTCTAGGCTATGGTGGACTAAATGTGTCACAGTATTTTAGGCTGGGGGAGAATAAATGTGTCACAGTATTCTATGCTGTGGGAGAATAAATGTGTCACAGTATTCTAGGCTGGGGGAGAATGAATGTGTCAAAGTATTCTAGGCTATGGTGGAATAAATGTGTCAGTATTCTAGGCTACTTTCAAATAAATGTGTCACAGTATTCTAGGCTGGGGGAGAATAAATGTGTCATAGTATTCTAGGCTGGGGGAGAATAAATGTGTCACAGTATTCTACGCTATATTGGAATAAATGTGTCACAGTATTCTAGGCTTGGGGAGAATAAATGTCTCACAGTATTCTAGGCTGGGGGAGAATAAACGTGTCATAGTATTCTACGCTATGGTGTAATAAATGTGTCAAAGTATTCAAGGCTGGAGGAGAATAAATGTGTCACAGTATTCTATGCTGGTGGAGAATAAATGTGTCACAGTATTCTATGCAGGGGGAGAATAAATGTGTCACAGTATTCTAGGCTAGGGGAAAATTGATGTGTCAAAGTATTCTAGGCTAGCGGAGAATAAATGTGTCAAAGTATTCTAGGTTATGGTGGAGTAAATGTGTCAAAAGTATACTAGGTTGGGGGAGAATAAAAGACCAGAAGTAATGCACAACTTACTTTGCACTGTTTAACGTTTCCTCCATCAAGGAGACTTCATCATTGGGCAGACCTTTATGATCTCGAATGTCTTTGACCAATGCCCTGTAAGAATGCCAGTGAATATAATTTCACTTATGAAATCTACCATTAATACCCATGACACATGTGTGTTTAAATGAATCAATCAAACCACACACGTACGAACAATCCTGTCCGTTTACCGATCATGCCTTTCACCTGCTGATTGATCTATATATTTATTTTATCATGAGCCTGTCTATTCACTAAGCTATCAATCATTAAATCTATCTACTCTTTAGTCTGTCCATCATAATATTTTTCTATTCTATAGTCTGTCCATAATAATATCTATCTATTCTTTAGTCTATCCATCATTAAATATAACTATTCTATAGTCTATCCATCATAATATATACCTATTCTATAGTCTATCTATCATTATATATACCTATTCTATAGTCTATCCATCATTATATATACCTATTCTATAGTCTATCTATCATTATATATACCTATTCTATAGTCTTTACATCATAATATCTATCTATTCTATAGTCTATCCATCATTATATCTATCTATTCTATAGTCTATCCATCATAATATATACCTATTCTATAGTCTATCCATCATTATATATACCTATTCTATAGTCTATCCATCATAATATATACCTATTCTATAGTCTATCCATCATAATATCTATCTTTTCTATAGTCTATCTATCATTATATCTATCTATTTTATAATCTACCCATCATTATATATACCTATTCTATAGTCTATACATCATTATATATACCTATTCTATAGTCTATACATCATTATATATACCTATTCTAGTCTATCTATCATTATATATACCTATTCTATAGTCTATCTATCATTATATATACCTTTTCTATAGTCTATCCATCATAATATCTATCTATTCTACAGTCTATCCATCATAATATTTTTCTATTCCATAGTCTATCCATCATTATATCTATCTATTCTACTGACTGCCTATCTATTCACCATGAACCTTTCTACCCAAGGTGTCACCTATATCCGATGCCCATATTCGTATTGGTCGTCCCCCACCCCTTCTTTCATGGTAACATTCTCTCTGCTATTATTTTTTTCAAATCCAGCATAGTGCTAGATATGGCCAAAATATTTCAATTTCTGAAACAAACTGTTTACTAGCCAATCTTCCTTGAGGTTCTTATCAACTGTCAGAATTTTTTAACTTCTTTGTCCACGGTTCTCTGATGATGTTTCTATAGTATTTCAGCTCAAACACCCCTTTTTGAACCTTTGCCGCCGACTTTAAACCATTACTGCTGTATGGAAGCTTAAACATGGAGAAGAACAAAAATAATTATTAGTACACTACAAAAATTCATGTCTGCACAGACTGGAGGGAATAAAAAAAATATGGTGTGATAGATTAACTCACTCTAAGCTTTAGGAGAGAACTAAATAAGATAGAACCACTCACTTAAAGCTTTAGGAGAGAACTAAATAAGATAGAACCACTAAGAGCTTTAGGACAGAACTAAGCTAGGTTAAAATCACCTGCTGAGGGCATCTAAGAAGGAACAAACTCTGTAGCTCGAGCAGCGATCCCTAAGGGTCTCTGTAAACAATGCACTTGCAAAGAGAACGTGTCCATGAAACAAACCCATGAGCTTCAGAGCTAGAGGCTAACAACCTGACTATTCCGCTCTGGGGACTTCAGTGAGAGAACAAATTCCAGTGAATAACACAGGTGAGGAAAGGAAGCTGGCAGTGGATAGAATACACACTGAGAAAACTTGGGTACAATTAGAATGTCTATATCTGGAACAAACAGGGCCAGAGAAATTACAGCTGACCACAAGACATGCAGAAGGGTATTAGAGAATGAATTAAAAAGAAAGGGAGGTCATAGGGTGAGCCTCTTGCGATTGTGAAGGATGATAGAACAACTTGGCTTGAGTTAGTTGAGGACCTTTGTTCCGCTAGGGGGAAAAAGGACAGCAGCAGCAGTTTTTTTTTTTTTTTTTTTTACACTGGCAATCAACATTACTGCTAGTAAAACAATGACGAGTCGAGCTAACAGACTTGTGAACTGACAGGAACTTACTTAAACTCATCAAAATTCAAATATCCATCCCCGTTTGCATCATAGTAGCGGAACATGTAGCGACACCTCATCTCAGCGGGCAGACCTCCATGTTGTGTACAAGGCTCCAGTGCTGCAAGGCCATGCAGGACATCCTTGCTTGTTAGCATGTGTCGTTTGTGTGCGTCAAATGCCCTGAAATATAGCACAATGTCCATGATAATTCATTCTACATCTAGAACATCATCAAATACTGACTAGATCTTAACTCATAACGGCAAAAAAATATCAGTTTTTAAGAACCAGAAATAAGCAGGTATAAAATATAAAATACTTGACAAGGCATACACTAAAAGAGAGGGACAGAGAGCACAAAGAAGACTAGGAACAAGATGGAAAGATAACATCAAACTCAACAGCAGTAGTTCTCAAACTGTGGGTCGCGACCCTTTTGTGGGTCGAACCAACCATTCACAAGGGTCGTCTATGACAATCGGAAAACACACACTGATGGAAGTTATTAAGTAGCAATGAAAACGACTGTATGGTTGGGGGTCACCACAACATTAGGAACTGTATTAAAGGGTCGTGTATTAGGAAGGTTGAGAACCATTGTTATACAACACGTATCCATGGCTGAAGTGACTAGAAAAGCAAGCAGCAGAATCTTATATCTTCCTCGACACCTGAAGCGGTAAAAAAGAAAGTGAAGAATAAGAACAATAAAAAAGCTACCAGAACAGACACTGATTACATAAAGAGACAGTAAGGGTCATTGACTTCCAGTCAATGCGGCCGATAGACAGCTTTACTGTTTTCAGATGTGTTTCAGATTTTTTCTTCTGACAATAGCTGGCTGCTAAATTTTCCTCCACATGTAGACAAAGGATATAGTTCCACTGCCCAGCTACTAAGTTGAGTGCATGGTTCGACACTGTGAGCTGTGGATTTCCTTAGGAATGCTTTTTTGACTGTGCCCAAGGTGGTTTGTGTTGTGAACTGCAGATTTTGAAAATGGTGAGTGGCCTGTTGTCAGAGGACTTGTGGTGCCTTATGCGATTAACTGCATGTGCAACTACTTATTTGTTGTAACTGCTGCTTCCATTATGCATGAACTGTATTTCTAGTGTCGGACTGCTGGCACTTATGACTGCTGCCTTATGCACTCAACTATTGGGTGTCTTGTTTGCTATGAAGTTGGAACTGTCTGATTACCAAATTACCTTAGTAAGGTGATTCTGTCATTATAAGATTACATGTTTTCTCTTTCTGAGATCTATGGGAGCATGATAACAGAACTTCTAGAGTATTTTTGTGCCAGAAAAGTGATCCTTCACAATGCTAACCACGCCTTGGCTTGTTCCCTGATGAAAATATTTACTCATTCAGTCTGGACCTTCTCCAAATCTTTCTTCCTCTGCCATTCACCCATTATGGAAAAAGAACACTAAATCCTTCATATAATTATAAATTAGAAGAAGCAGTGACTTATCACAGTGGTTCTCAATAACCTAAGATCTACTGCCCTTTCTTATTTCTGAAGACCTGCGATCATCATCATGTAGCAGGTTCTTTGCAGAATGTCACTCTCATCACAGTCTGCCTGAAAGAAACTTGGTCTCTCGCCAGTTCTCCTGCCTCATGTACTTTCATACTCAAGGAGTCACTTATCACATGCGATAGACTTTATAAAATATATTGAATAACTCATTATAATTTATAAATTCTATGATTTTCCTGTGTCTGCTCCGGGGCCTCATTGTGCAGAAAACAAGAAAAGCCTCAATGACTCCCCAGCAAGCATGTCGTAGGAGTTGAGCAACTGGAGGTTTCTTCGAAGTTTGAGGGTATTTGCCTGAGAGGCACGGAATCAACAGTCTGCATTCTAATTAGTCAAATCTGTAAAATGGATGTGCATGCAACTCAGGTTCTTGAACAAGTCTAACGTCGAGAGGTGGTTGGACAACCAGAACTTTCCACCAGATTTTACAGCTGGTGAATATGATGAAAAAATGTTAGGATCACACTAAGGATTGAATTCTAAAGTAGCAGATTTTATGTGTGTAAATGATGATGGGGCCCCCTTTTATTTGTTCCATGGATTCCCAGGGGTCAGCTTGCCACCAAATGGGAACCCCTGATTTATTATAACAATGATCAGTAAACTTAACTCTTTCAGTCCCAATAATGATGTGCTACTGACTGCCTCCCCTGCCCCAAATGTCTCAAACATTACATCAAGTGTCTTTCTATATTCAGGTTTTGGTTAATTTATAATATTCTAAATAAATTTGACACCCAAATGTCTTGAACATCACATCAAGTGCCTTCATATATTTAAGTTCTGGTCAGTGTATACTAAATAAATCTGGCAACCACTAAGGTATTTTGCATTAATTTTTCATTCCTACAACACACCAAGTTGTTAAGAGTTTTTTTGACAATACGGAACAACAACAATGATAAACCTTATGGGACCGAAAGAGTTAACAACCATCAGTAAACTTACTAACCTGAAAAGAGCCTCAACCGTGTCCTGCCGAGCTCCCTTGAGGCTGGTCATGTAGTGGGAGAATGTTGTGAAGTTCATGTACTGGCTGGGATGGCACTGCTCAATACATTCTTGAAACAGCATCTCTTGTTCTAGACAAGTGACCAGGCGCCCACAGAAAAACATGGCAAAACGTTAGAGTTATCCTTTGTACACATAATTTATTTCATGCAGAAGTGTGCCAGATTGTTTTTAATTTTTTTATGTACATCTGTAAAATGGCGGTGGCGGTGGTTGTTGTTCTGAGTAACAGATAGGCATTAAATGCATTCAATATATACGTTGAATTAAGAATCAACATCACAGCACCCGGAAACTTCCATAAGCACTCCGTCCCCATCTTCAGCAGCAAGCGAAGAGTTCCAATTCCAATGTCACCAGTAACTGTTTGATTGTATATCTGTCTCACTCTTCCCCTGGGTGCTGAGCGCCGGTCAAGTTCCCTGGTAACTCCTCGAAGCGCCATTCTCCTCAGACCGTAATGATCTATCTGTGCCTCCTCACTGTTCACTTGCTCCCAAAGGGCCCTCACAATATCAAGCTTGTCATACATCAATTCACCACCAAGTGGTGCAGAGCTGGCCAGTCTATCTGCCTGCTCATTTCCAAACACACCGGCATGACATGGGAAAAAAAATATCCAAAGGATGCTAACTACCCAGGACGTCTGAATGAATTCAATACATGTGTAGAATTGACAGAAATGCCAGGGTGAAAGAAAAGGAAAGAGCTGACATGTCTACAGTGGTCAGTAGAGGAAGAAGTATGGACAGGGAAGACATACAGAATGTGCTGTGTTCCAGAAGGAATCAGAGAACTGAACCGCCTGTTGGAAATGTGTACTGAAAGAGGACAAGCAGGCAGAAACCAGTTGTGGAGCAAAGAAAGAAGATATACCTATCAACTCAAACTTGGTATGGTCAACACTGATCTGGCTGCTGTGTCCAGAACTGAGCAGGAATGGGAAGGAATAATGTCCTAGGATGTGGACATGGATAACAAGTCCCCCCCCCCCCTGGACTGCTGTCCAAAGGAATAACACCTTATGGATGAGAATCAAACTGGAGAAATCCCAGAAACCCAGTTCAAGCATTCAACAAACCCAGTTCCAGCACATAATAGTTATATTAGAGCATCCATACAGTTAACAATGTAACCTGCAGTCCAATGACGGGGTGGGATACACCATGCAGATGTGCCGAAACAGAAATCTAACCACTATTTTATTATGTTCAAATAAGTAAATGTATTTAGTAGAGTGTACTATAGGAGAACAGAAAGCTACAAGGCAAGAGGCCGAACAAAAAAGAGATGGGTGGAGAGTGTAAAAAGGACACTACAGAAAAGCAACATGGCATTAGCAGAAGCTAGGCAACTAGCAAAAGATAAGAAACTACATCTAACTCCTCTCTGCAACACTTTGTTTGTTTGTTTTAGTATCCAGAAGCCATGAGTTGTAAACCCTTAGGCTCGGTATTATGGATATCGCAACCTTTTCGGCCTTGATTCCATTTTAAATACCGTAAATCTGGCAGAAATGTGGTTTTCTGCCCACCCCCGGGAGTGAAACCGGACCACAAGGAGTTCGTCACCAGCTCACCGCGCAATCCGGTTTAGCCAACTACGCTAGAGAGACGGACCTGCAACACTTTATAGTATAAGCAGTAGGATACAAGAAGAAGGCTTAATTATGTTAGTTCTAACCTCTAAATACTAACTTAACAGTGTAGTCTTCAGATTAGCAACAAAAATGTTAGCACATGATTTTAACATTCTGTAACTATAATTTAACAACACATCAATATTTATAATAATTTAATATAACTGGATGCTAGCAAGTTTAACAAAAATTTAACAATTTAGAATGTTAACATCCGTAATAATTTAACGACTCAAAACACTTGCATATGAAACATTAATTCAAATATCAAGAGCGTTAATATTTTAGAATTTAGGTTATCATTAATATTCACATCTGTAACTATTAATTTGGTGTCTGCGGCTTTATGAATGCGCTTCATAATGCGGGGTTTGATCCCAGCTGCGGGCCTTGAGTGGTTTCGACAGTAGTATTGAGAAATTGGCCGTCCAGAAAGAAATGGCAAACTACTGGACGTAAATTTGCCTAGAAAAACCACAACAGCAAAAAATGCTGTGGTTTGTTTTGCAATGTCCTATAAAGGATATGCAACATTTTTTTAAAAACTATTACTTTAACAAAGTCACAAGCTAAAACCCGTAAAATGAATGCTTGAATGTGTAGCAACTACATCAAGAGATAATAGATCAAACGGTTTAGACATGTGTCAAGACTACCATCAGAAACGGCACCGCAGAAAGCATTATCACTTAGACAAAATGGACGCAGATCCAGAGGTCGACCACGCAAACGATGGACAGAGATTGAACACAGAGGCCGTAAATACCAGCACTTAGGTAGTATATACCAAGGCTCGCAGTCAATACCACTTTAAAACCTGATGCTGAAAGGCAGGACAGGCCAGAGAATATGATAAAAAATGTGTAACTGACTTCTTCAGCATTCTAAGTCTTTCAGGTTATTCTTCTTTTTCGCGTTCACCAGCTGTAAACTCTGGCAGAAAGTTCTGGTTGTTTATCCACTTCTGGACTGCAGTCCTGTTCTAGAACTTGAATGTTGCATCCATTTTTACAGATCTGAATCATAGGTATGCAGACTGCTGGTTTCTTGCCTCTCAGGCAGATGCACTCGATTTTGAAGGAAGCTCCCAATTAGTCCACTCTTACGACATGCTTTTTGGGTCGGCAGTGGGTCTATTCTTGTTTTCCCTATAACAGGGCCCTGGAACCCACATGGGGACTTTAACATTCACTCCTGAAGACATCACCTGCCTCCATTCATTTCATTAAATTTCTAGGCTAAGAGATCCCTACTTTAACTCCCAACTTGGAACACTTACCAGTTCTCAACCTTTTGACCTGCTTGGCTTACAGAGGTCTACTAGTAGGTATGTTTCGCAGGCACAGCATCTGGGGGGCAGTGAGAAATGCAAACTCCACCATCATGGCAAGGTATGTCAATTGACAATCTCAGCAAATCGATCAGAGAGCTCCAGTATGGGTTCCAGCCCGGGATGTGTGTGTGTGGGGATACACACTGCCTACATAACAAGCATGTCATGGCAGGCAACTAATTGGGACAGGTTTCTTCAAAGTCAAAGTGCATCAGCCTGAGAGGCGAGGAACCCACAGTCAGGATACAAATAAGCTTAATCTATCAAACAGACCTGAGCGCAAAACTCAAATTCTCTAGTCCAGAAATGGACGCACCACCAGAACTTTCTGCCGGAGTTCACAGCTGGTGAACAACTGAGAAAAAGAATCTGAGGTCAGATAAAAATATACCAGGCTACCTTTCTTGCCCAATTTTGCTGACTTGACCAGGGCCTCATGAGCTGACATCTGTGTGTTTTCTGCTGCGATGTCGTAGATGTCAGCGGACAGCTCTCCCATGGTTGTTGCTGGCACAGAATTTCCTGTTACAGGAAACAAAAAGTCAATTAACGGTAACTGTACCGTATGTTATTGTATCTGAATCAGTCATTCCTCTTTTACAATTGGGCATAGACATTCTATATTTCCCTCTATTATTAGCATTCAGTGGCTGTAAATTCTGGCAGAAAGTTCTGGTTATTTATACCCTTCTTCTAAAACTTTTGCATTTTGCGTGCACATTCATTTTACAGATCTGCCTTATTTGTATGCAGACTGTTGGTTCCTCATCTCTCAACCAGATGGACTCCAATTTCAAAAGAAACACTCATAAAGTGTTGCATCTTATGGTATGCTTACATGGTGGGTGAAACTATTCCTTTTCCTCAATAATAGGGCCCTGGAATCCACACAGAAAATTCTAACTATCTAAAGTACTGCTTCCACAAAAAAGGCTGGCTACTGTGTTCCCACTGCTGTCTTTTGAAATAGCACGAGGTGAGATGGAGATGAGGAGACCCCAACCTGAATCAGTGCCACTCTAGTGCTCAATTTGAAACCTACAAGAACCTTTTCTATTGCCATGAACACTGAACCCTGGATGCAAACTGATTAAAAACCAGCTGTCTTTTTTCCTGTACACTGAAAACCACCCAGACCTTCTGCCCCCCCCCCCCCCCACCCCCTCCCATTAGTCTCTCAGGGACACTGTCAGGTTGTACTGTCCAACTGAACAAAATTGTTAAATGCATTCAGTGACCATTCAGCCACTGAGCCACATGATTTAGAAATATGACACAGTACTTTCTAGGCATAACTGCATTATCTAACACAGACCTGATTTGATACTCTATAGCTGTGTGAGATGTTTATTCTTTCAGCACAGCATTCGATCATGATGATGTATTGTATAATTCTGTAACTGATTATATGGAAGCAAATAGGGTGTGGTTTTTTAGACACATGATGAGAATACCACTGACAGATTTAAAATAAGGAAATGAAGATATGTGAACAGAAACTAATTTACGAAGAAATCTAATTGCGCAGATCAGAAGGAGACAATCTACATTTTCTGACCATGTCATAATAAGGAGAAGACTGGAGTATACTGGGACAGGGGAAAAGCTAGAGGGGAAAAGAGCCAGAGGGAATTCAAGAGAGAATATGCTGGACAATCTGACATCATGGCATAGAAGATCATCTCTGTCAGAACTGACTGAAAGTACACAAGACAGAAGGTTGTGGATGACACGATTACTGATGCCTCAATGTATGGAAGACAATATGTGTAAAAATTGACTGAAAGTACACAAGACAGAAGGTTGTGGATGACACGATTACTGATGCCTCAAGGTATGGAAGACAATATGTGTAAAAATTGACTGAAAGTACACAAGACAGAAGGTTGTGGATGACACGATTACTGATGCCTCAAGGTATGGAAGACAATATGTGTAAAAATTGACTGAAAGTACACAAGACAGAAGGTTGTGGATGACACGATTACTGATGCCACAAGGTATGGAAGACAATATGTGTAAAAATTGACTGAAAGTACACAAGACAGAAGGTTGTGGATGACATGATTACCGATGCCACAAGGTATGGAAGACATTATGTGTAAAAACTGACTGAAAGTACACAAGAAAAGTTTGTGGATGACACGATTACTGATGCCACAAAGTATGGAAGACAATTTTTAAAATTTTCTGAAAGTACACGAGACGGAAGGTTGTTGACAGAAATGAGTACCAATGCCACAAGGTATGGAAGATAATCTGTGTCAGAACTGACTGAAACTATATGAGATAGCATCAACTATAAGAAAATTAAGAACTGATTATTCACTACCCTTGCTTCTGCATAATACAGCAACACTGAGCATACATGGACACACACACACAGTCAAGAAGTTAAAAGAAAATGGGTCACCCCAATGGCTTTTCGATGTGGTGCTAAAACTCAAACACCTACAGACCAATAAGCACTTGATGTTGATGTGGTCAACATAATACCAGCCACCTTTACTTCAAAGGACAAATCCTTTTTTTTAAACTGAGTCAGTCTGGGAGCCTGGGTCAATTACAAAATAACTGGCTCTGTGAGGGTTCAAACATAAAACTTGCAGGTAAACAGACAGGAGTCTAGCCACTGCAGAACCTTTTCTGTTTTGCTATCACAATCAATGTCACTGTACATTCCCATGGGTGCTCAGTCCTTCGATGCAGCAGCCAACCCAAGATACCTCCACCCATTGTTCCCATCTTCTTCTTCGCATTCACTGGTGGTAAACTCCAGAACTTTAGTTTTGCATGCACATCCATTTTATAGATATGGCTTACTTCTATGCAGACTGCTGTTTCCTCATCTCTCAGATGCATTTCAACTTCAAAGGAAAAATCCCAATAAGTAGCCTTCTACGACATGCTTGTCAGGGGGTCAGTCTATTCTTTACCCCTCCTAAACGGGTTGCTGGAACCCACATGGGGACAGATAACTCCACTGAACGTTCCCATGAGAAGTTGGTTATGTCTCCACTCTTGTTCTTAGAGGTCTCTTTCCAGGTATTTCTTTTCATTTGCTTTAAATATAATTTTCATATGTTGCCCACAAATATATCTTAATTTTTCTTCTTTTCCATTTATCTGAAGGCATAACTGTTTTGTGCCTCTTTACAGCATGGCAACAATACTGCACCTTTTACCGGATACTCCAGGAACCTTTTTTAGGCATTTGTCTGTCAGAGATACCCTTCCTGGTTGCATGTTGATTTTAAATTGTGGCACAAATTGTCTTTTCTTGCTGTAATTCTTGCCAGAAAGTAAAAAAAAAACAAAAAACAAATGTATGTCAAACTAAAACCTGGCAGGAATTAATATTCAAACTGACCTTTGCAGTCCAGGACTTGCTGGGCGAGTTTGATTGGGTCAAGGCCAAGAAGGTGAAGGCTGGAATCCGGCTCTAAAGAGCTTTTCATTTCCTCGATACTGAGCCAGAATCCATCGGGAGAGTCCTGCAAGTGCACATTCTTTTTTTTAAGTGAAATTAGGAAAAATCTAACAAATGAATGAATAGGTGAGTGACTGATGGATAGAATTAGGGATGGGCTGAGTGATAATTGGTGAGAAAGAGATGGACAAACAGCACAGGCAGGCGAGTGAATGTTCTGTGTTGAGATCATCATCGCACATGAACATAAGTGCTCTGATCTCCTCCTGAGTATGTCTCCAAACGTTTTTAGGTTAACAACTCCTATTATGTTTTGGCTGAGGCAATGACGGGTGGCTCTGCCCAGTTTTCCTGTCTCGCCGAGTGAGTGAATCGGTAATGGAGACATGGATGGACTGTTATTTTCTGAGTAAAGAAAACAAGGATAGAGTGAGCCATGTACACAAATAAGGGAGACAGTGAGTGAAGAAAGAAGACATGGATGAAGTGACTAAAGGAGACATGAATGGAGTAACCGACTGAGTTAGGGGAGACAAACAGAGAATAACCCAAAAGGCAGTGAAATGGGAATTAGATGGAGTGAGGAAATGAGGACGTTCTAGAACAAGACATCCGTGGACATCCAATCTACAGATTTGACCTACTTGAATGCTGACAGTTCACTTGTCACCTTCCAGGGAAATACGCTCCAACTTTGAAGGAAACACCCATAAACAATCGCCTTTTAAACTTTGAAGGAAACACCCATAAACAATTGCCTTTTAATGCATGCTTATTAGGAAGGCAGTGGATCTATTCCCCCACACACAATGCGGACCTGGAGCCTACATGGGGACAACCAAATGACAAGTGTGACTATTATGAACAACATAAAAACCACATACCTTAATGTTTTCAGAGTTGACTGTGGCATAGAAAAAAACATAAAGTCGGGTTTGAGCATTTGCAAACCGAATGAACTGGTAGCGCAGCAATCCTTTGAGATTTGATTTCTCCCCTGATAACTGCAAAGAATGAAGAGATAAGTTAACATACCTGATGCGAGAAGGATTTTAGAATTAATATTATTAACCGACTATTTAGAGAGACACCCTCCTTCCCTTTTTTCCAATCAAAACACCAAAGAGTATACAACCTGGTGTAAACAAAAGGATCATGTGCGCGCATGCATGTTTATTTTTAAAGGATGTTAGTATTTATTTTTTTCTTGGTCCCAGTCCGGGATATTCTGATAATGTTTCTATAATATTTCAGCTCAAAAGCCCCTATTCTCTTCCTTAATAACTGTTCGATAATCCACAGCTGACATCCATATGTTGCTACAGGGAAGACACATCCTCTCAAAATGTTTACTTCTGTTTCCTCGCTGCTGCTTTTAACCATAAACTGTTAATGCTGTTTGAAACATACCCGTATTTTTTAAAAAGGAGTAAAGGGTCATTATGAGGTCAATAGCACACTGGTCATTTGACGCTAGATTCATGCATTTTTGTTATAGACCAGTCAACACTCGGTGGGTGATAGGGTTAGGTTAACATCTTCTTTCCAGGGAACATTTAGTCACTTGTTATACTAATTATGCCACAAGTATCAACAGTTATAACACAGAGAAGATGGCACTATGTTGGACACATCCTAAGAAGAAAATAGCAAAGAATCACGAAACTGACATTAAAATAGGAAATAAAGGGATTAAGGAGGCAAGGATGCCAAACCCTAAGAAAAATGTTGATGACAAAGGCCAAAGCTGCTGAACTATTCAGACTTAGACTATTCCAGTCACATATTTGTGATATCATGATATGCAGCATGTTCTTCACTGCTTGAAACTTCATGTCCTTTGTTAAATGAAAGATAAATTACCTTATATGTTAACCCTAGTCTACAGTGATCAGTGATGATAGTGTAAGGTGACAACAAACTGATAAACTAATTTTATCAACACTGTCAATATTATATTGAACTATCTGAAAAAGAAATGGCATATACTCAGTCAATCAAACAAAACACTCAATATTTTTACTAGGGCTGTACTGAATATTGATTTTCACTATTCGGCCAAATACGAATAGCTGGACCAACTATTTGGCCGAATACAAATAGTGAATCATCACCATCTTCTCTCGTTGTCTTCCTCTATCACTCCTTCCACATATCTTTCCAGTGGTCACTCGAAAAATGATGACTGTCTCCTTTTGATGTCTGTGAGTAGTTGCCTTCGGGCTCCCGCCTCTTTCAAAACCTCTTGGTTGCTTTTTTTTGGCTGTCCAAGGTATTTTAAGCATTATTCTGTAAAACCACATCTCTGAGGCCTCAAGAAATTGTTTGGCCTGCTTACCGATTGTCCAAGACTCACAGCCATATGTTAAAACTGGATGTATGTAGCAAGCAAGAATTCTTTTTATAACCTTCAATGACAAAGATATATTGCATAAGATGTTCTTCATTTTATGAAATGCAGTTCTTGCCTGTCCTATCCTGTTTTTTATTTCATAAATGCATCTTCCATCTGATGTTATCCATGTGCCCAAATACTTAAATTTCTGTACTTGTCCCAAAATAAAACAATTGACTTTTATTACAATTACACATTTAGGAATAATTATTTTCTTTGATACCACAATTACTTCTGTCTTCCCAGTATTCAAACTGAGGCCCATTCTTCCACTTTCGAATAGTGTATAAAACAGATCTAAAAAAAACATCCATTATGTCAAATGTACGCTGAAATTTTACTTCACAAATTGTAGTACAGAATAGTAAACATTTGAAAACATTACATGTTTTGCATCCTTCAGTCAGTCAGTCTGTGGTAACTAATCCCTAGGAATGAAAGTATTCTTATTCTTAGTTTCATAACAAGTAACTAAACTTGTAAATTGTTACTGACAGCTTAGTTAATCCATGAAAGCGGCATTGGCTCATTAGATTTAAAAAAAAAAAATCGTCCCATGTTGTCAGCATTAAGTCATTAAGGCAGCTTCTTGTCTCACTGAAGATATTTCCAGCTGTACTAAACAGACGTTCACTTCGTAGGCTCGTAGGTGGTGCACAAAGATACTAACGCTTGACAGTATGAACCAAGGTGGGAAATCTTGATATGTTTTAGTTTATTTTCCACCAGTCCAGAAACGGGTGTAAGGTAACCACAATTGGTATTCGGCCCGAACGCACTATTCGGCCAAATACTGAATAGTTATTAGGTCCACTATTAGGCCCCGAAGCGAATATGAAGTGAATATTTGGTACAGCCCTGATTTTTACAGTTATAAAGTGAGATTCAAACTTTATTACTTTATTTTTCTAAGTAACTGACTAACTCCCACTTCCAACTCAAGGCCTAACTGTTGTTCACGTAACGTCTTGTTTATAATTATCTAACTAACATTTATTAAATTTGTATATTATAATATTTTTAAATTATAATATAATAATTATTATACAATTTATAAAATAAACAGCAACAAAGGCACTTCCAGAATATTCACGGTACTGACAAAACTAACTTGAAATATGTTCAATATTCAATATCTAAAGAGTAATAATGACAACGTCTTACTAACGGACTAACCTGTTCAATAATCTTGACCGCCAAACTTCGCAGCGTTAAGTGGCTGTACTGGTCGCACCTTTCCTCAAACGGCAACCACAAGCCCCTGTCTTTAAAGTCTGTGAGGTAGAACTTGTTGTCTTCATTTCCAATTAGAAGACAAACGTACTCCTTAGTACCAACCTCTGTCATTGTTACTTGCTAGATAATTCACTGTACTCACATATAAATGATACCACTGATACACCACATCTAATATCTATCTGATTTTTAAAAAGGAACGTGAAAGATAAAAATTATTAAAAGTCGGGACGGACGAATGTTGTGTTGTGCGTAAGGTTGCACAAATTGTAGATAGATTCAATTACCGAACTGTCCTAAAATTGAACGACCAAGAATACGGCACGAGATCGTGTTATTCCTCTAAATTGGCCCTGAACTGTTAATACAATTGAGAAATGATCTGAAACATTGAAAGATCACTGGATGAGGTATGATTTCAGTCATTGTCCCTCTCCCTTCTGTTCCTAATAATATCTGGTTTCGATTTTTAATGGAATTTTTCCGCAGACGTGATTCATTGGCTCGCAGTACGGAAGCGGAACAAAAAGATACAAGTCATGGGATTACTAGTTGTACGGAGGGAGAATCAAATTCTGATCCTTCTATATTACCACGATTTGATTTGTTGACAGGTTAAATTTTGGGGTTTATATCACTTTAATGGTCATAATTTTTGCGGTCATACAATGAAAAAAAAAAGGAAACTGGAACATATTATGACCATTGAAAAGATCTGTAGGAAAAACAATGCCAGAAGATTCTTGATAACTTGTTGTCATGATATATACGAACTCATACATGCTGTTAAAGATCGCACATTGCGGAGGGGTATGATCGCCCTACACCATTCGTCACGGCACTTGGTGATAATGATGATCACTTTAAAAAATGTTGAAAGCAGGCGAGCTAGAGGCAGAGAGTCGTACAAGTGGAAGAATAACATCAAGAGTTGGATGAAGAACTGCAGTCTGTAAAATTTACATCTGGGGCGGAAGCTAGAGAGAGAGAGAGAGCGTAATAGAGATCCATTGCAGCCAACCTTCATTGCGAGGACATTACCTAACTAACTGATCGTTTTAAAATGCATCTTTTATGTGTGTGTGTTTTTTTTCCTACTGCAATAAGTGCTTTCTTCTTTCGTAGTTTATTCTCTAATGGAACATACTACGTCCTCAGTCAACGCTTGCGTTACCATTTCTAACTAACTTCTGTTAAATATAGAACTTGTGGTCTTAAAATAGATACTTTATCTTTCGTCCATCAAGTCATCATCATCATGTAGCAGGTCCTTTTCAGAACGTCGCTCTCATCACGGTCTGCCTGAAAGAAACTCGGTCTTTCACCAGCTCTCCCGCCTCATGCACTTTCATACACAAGGAGTCACTTATATCCTATGCTCATCTTCGTGTTGGTCGGCCCCTGCCCCTCCTTCCTGGTACCATGCCCTCTGCTATAATTTGTTGTGGATCTAATGTGGAATACGTTTTTAAGAGCTTATTATGCCTTTTGCGATTTAATTCCGTCTATCACCACTGCTGCTTTCATCGACAGTGAACTATATTTCTAGTGCCGGATCTTTTCGTTTTGGCACTTCTAACGGCTTCTAACATTTAATGCATGTGTATGCATTTGGCTTTTCTGAGTCTCAAGTCTGTGTCAATTTGTTCTTTTCACCTGGGACAGCGATGGACATTCGATGCGGGTTTCGCTGTCACATGAACGGAGCAAATATGAAGTTGGAACTGCGATTACTGCAGCTGATTTAGGGAACACGCCATGATTTGAAAGCTTATCAAAGGGGACACACAATAAAACACATAGGAACAATGGAACGGTCAACTGAATGAATCAAGAATTGACATCACTGCACTCGACGTGGTGCTCTGTGTCGTTGTCCAGTAGCCAATGATGAGTCGATATGTTAATAGTACCAGTTGAAACATATTTACAAGTCTGGCTGTGTTTCCCCCTCAGTGTTGAATATCTCTCAGAACCTCTACTCACCTCCAAACCCCTAGTTGAATAAGTCTTTCAATAAACGGATTCTCGGTCAGTTCTTTTGCACTGCCCATTTGATTCCAGAGAGCCTTCATCACGTCCTCTTTATCATAAAGTAGCTCACCGCTCGGATAAACGGCAGCAGCTAATATATCACCCTGCTCGTTACTTCGCACACCTGCACGTCATGGACAGAAAATACACGATATGCTCCTGAGATGAGTCTTTTTAAGTGATGTAAGCCATTCTGGGCGCCGGAAGCCAATTTGAATTTTCCGAAGCAATTACAACAATTACGGATTGTGCTGGTCTCAAGCCATCTGCCGTTACTGCCTTCTTGTACTGGATGTGTTGTTCGTCATCGCGAGTGATGAAGACCACTTTTCATCTAAAGTAACAGTGATAAATGATTATGAGTACAAAGGTTGCTGATTAGTTCAACATAAGCCCGGAAAGTTCTTGAGCAGTGCAGATTACAGGGGGAAGCAGCAGTAAGTGTGGGATTAGCGGTACGGTTCTTTGTAGTCTGCCTCCGTTTTTCTGCCTGCGCAACCTCAGTTGCCTGGCAGACCGATGCACCATGCCTGAGGGATGTACGCTATCCAGAACGGTTCTGTGCAGCAGCCTCCGACGTCGCTGTGTTGATGGCAAAAGAACTGAGTGCAGTTTTCAGTGTCCTTATAGCGCTTTATCTGTCCTTCCTGGGACCTCTTCCCTTGCTGGAGCTCATCATAGAATACTGTCTTTGGGAGGCGATAGTCTGGCATGCGGGCTAGGTGACCAGCCCAACGCAGCTGATAATTCTTCAGTAACGTGTGAATGCTAGGCAGGTTTGCCCTATCAAGAACCACAGTGTTTGGGATCCTATCTTGATATTGGATGTAGTGACGCTGTACGCGAAGCTTTCTATCTGTGAACAGTGCTAATTTACCTTAGCGCTGACCTCTCCATTGACAGCAATGGGATTCTGCTCCCGAAAAATTTTACCCCAAATCCTGACGACATAGGACAATGTGAGATTGAGCGCTTTAGACGCTAGTATCCATTCCTGACCTGGATGGATATCTGTAAGGCTGCAGACCTGTATGATGTCCTCTTCTACCCTACCCAGCCATGATTTGCCCTTTTTCAGCCTATTACCATTTTTTTCCCGAAGAGCATGAGGTGCAAAGGGTACTTCAGATCTGAGCTTATCGTGAGGTATGCACGAGCCCTCCAGATCCTGATCCTGTAGTTCATGGTAGGGAAGTGAAGAAGGTATCTCATTGCTACACAAGAGGTGTCTCCAGTGCACCCCAGAATAATGCGCAATGCTTCATTTTGCACCTTTTCAAGTCTTTTAGTCTGAGTATGGCTGACAGTGAGGATGGCTAGAGCATATTCGATGGGAGAAAGAACAAGTCTTTGGAACAGAAGCAGAAGCAGTCTCTACTCAGTATTACCGGCGGTCAGGACCCTCATTACTGACATGCCTTTGCGAGCTTATGTTATAACATGGTCAACATGTTCTTTGAAGGACAGGCTGCAATTCAACTTCATGGTATGTCATCAGATTTGTTCTCGTCAAAATTTCCTCGCTACTTTCCCCTGTTGGTAAGTCTGCCCTCACTATATGCGTGTTCAAGGAGAACCACGTTACTGAGGCATTCGAAGGGTTGACATGAGCATCAGCGTATACACACCAGAAGGAGTTGCGATGAAGTACGTGTTACATGCGCACACTTGGGGTGTCCCGTGTATATCTAAAAATGACTCGGGTGGTTTTATTTTGCATGTGCCACAGCTTTTCTATCTAAGTTTGAGATACTGTTAACAGCCCGAGACTATATTTCATAATCAGCAACTGGTATAGTATATAGAGCATTTTCTGTTTTTGTCCGCTGATACCATCACTTTTACATCATTAAATAATGTCCCTGGAAGGATCAAACAATAAAACGCACTGTTGTTGTTCCTGTCTGCGTGTTGTTTCTTCCATTTCTCATTGGCTGAGTTCCCCAGTCACCAATAATAACAACCAGTAAACATTTCCATAGATTGTGTCTAGTGAATTTATTTATCAGTATTTGTTTGTATTTCACATGTTTTCTGATACAAACACACAGTGACAGCATGAGGGAAGACTGATTGTGTCAGATACAAACACACTTTGACAGCATAAGGGAGGACTGATTGTGTCAGATACAAACACACTATGACATCATGAGGGAGGACTGATTGTGTCAGATACAAACACACTGTGACAGCATGAGGGAGGACTGATTGTGTCAGATACAAACACACTGTGACATCATGAGGGAGGACTGATTGTCTCAGATACAAACACATTGTGACAGCATGAGGGAGGACTGATTGTTAATTAACCTGTCGCCCCAATTTGGGTCGCATTTTTCGTTATTTTAAAGCCCCACCTAGGTATAGTCGGGGACCCAAATATAACCTAACGGTTGAGCAGGGTTTCTGGGACCTGTCCCCGGGTGATTCTCAACCGCATGGTGGCACTTTGTGTCACTGGGTGTTTATCGCTTGGTGGATGTCCTGGTGCGATTGAATTCCACCCCCCCCCCCTTCTCTCTCTCTCTCTCTCTCTCTCTCTCTCTCGGGCTTACGGAACTATAACACGTAATTTGCTGCAGGTTACGACAGGCTGATGTAGCTATCGTGGGCGCATTTATTATAACTTTTTTGGAGGTTGAACAGGGTATCTGGTACCTGTTGTTCTATGCTAAAATGTGTTTTATTGCAGGGTGGTAAACCTTGCGATAGCAGCCCGGAGTAAGACCGATCCATCGATGGATCCATCGTTAACGTTTGAATAGACAGTGGGTTAAAAACAAGACATGTAACGCGAAACGAAATGTTCAAGTCAACTGAGTTACTGTGTTGACATTGCCTTTATTTGTATTAATATTATTTTGCTGAAAACTGGGAAATAAATAAAGAGCAACGATAAATTAAATATGTCATTAGTCCTCAGTACATTTACTAGAAGACGTTTTCCAAGCGCCTGAAACTTTGCTCAGAGATTGCACGTCCGTTGTTGTTTGTTCCAACTGGTGTTGAAATGATTTATTTTTGAAATTGAAATCTGAATCATTAATTTTAATTACTTTAATTAGTAATTAGGTTATCAGTAATAATATTTTTGTTACTGTGAAATGTAATGTAAATTTTCAAGTTATTTTAACTTACTTTACTTTTTGTTTTATTTAGGTGCCTTTTAGGCTATCTTCCGAATTACGACCACTTAGCGGCCACAAAAACACCCTAACTGGGCCTCAGTCACATGTAAAATTCGGAATTCCGGCGACTTGAATTGCGCACTTCTGGTGACTACCGCCACCGCCAAGAGTATCTCCCACGCCACTACGCACGGTGTGGATTGGGGCTAAACTAGATAGCTGGTACTCACGAGCAGCAGCTTCCGCATCTCCTGCAGCTTTGCTCGTGAGTCCCGATATTCGGAAGAGTGCCGTATTTGTATAGAGCAAGCAATCTCTCTCTCTCTCTCTCTCTCTCTCTCTCTCTCTCTCTCTCACTCACTCACACACACATACATGAACATCATCATCATCAATCAACAGGTCCTGTACAGAGTGTCACTCCACAGTATCCTGAAAGTCTGTCTCTAGCCAGTTCTCCAGCCCTATCTGCTTTCACAGCCAGTGCATCTTCAATGTCTTGAATCCACATTTGCAGAAGTCGGCCTCTGCCCTGTTCTGTTTTTCAGAAACTGTACCCTCCATCACCCTTCTCCCCAGGCTGCCATGACTTTTAACATTACCAAAATACCTCAGCTTTTGAGACAGATTGCTTTTTATAGGCCATTTCTTCTCGATATTCAGATCATGTAGGATGTCTAGTTTTCTTCTTCTTGGTCCATGGTATATTAAGATTGTTGATCACACTTAATTCCCCTTGCTATAGACTCCTCGCATTCCAAGTTTCTATCTTTGGTTTATGTTTTAGTCCAGCCAAAGAGTGTTCCATGACAGCACATTACCACACATCAATTAACAAAAATATGTGATCCATAATTCTTTGGGACCTATTTCAGCTAGAAGCAATGATGAGTCATATACACCTGCCAACAGAGTCACAAGTACCACCAGCTCCACAACCACCTCCACTACCACTGGCTCCACCAATCATCCGTGTTCAAGAAGTATCAAAAACAGTTCATGTAAATGGTGTGTTTATTTGTATTATTTTCTTGCCTTTTTTAACTTTTTGCCTATGTAAAATAACTGGACAGTTGGTCGATTAGTGGACAATTATTTAGAAGCAACAGAGATGTCATTTTATAGATAAATGATGAGAACACCCTGGATAGGTAAAAAGAGCAATGAAAATGTCTTGAAAAAAACTGTTTAGTTTAGTTTAGTCGATGGATCAACATCATGGCACACGGGTGTAAAACCATAAGTAAAGTAAAAGTAAAGATCCCTTCCACGCCTTCAGGCGTATCAGGCATATGGGAAGAGCGCCCATATTTTTACAGACCATCAGCACTCGGTGGGTAATGTGGTCAGCATTACGCCGGCTGTCTTTACTTTCCCAGGACAGCCCATCCTGGTACCCATTTTAGGCTGGGTCGACCTGCGAAGTCCCATACCACGATACAAATCCACGCAGCCCGCAGTGGGTTTCGATCGCGGTACGTTGGATTACGAGTCGGACTCGCAACGCCTTAGCCACGGACGCCGCAAAACCATAAGTGCTTCGTTCTATTTCTAAAGTGCTTCGTTCTATTTCTAACTCAGGCCTGAGTCTGAAGAATCTCAGCTCAGTGCTTGAACTCTGTTGCACCGGCAAGGATCCTGAAATACTCTTGGGTTGATTTTTTACTAAAAATTTTGCCCGGCTAGCGCCGTTAGGCTACACACGGGCGTCTGGTCCTACTACCCAGAGACCAGGGGGAAATTACTAGAAATTCATGTAAAAAAATCCCAGCCTTCGCCAGGGTTTGAATCTGGGACCTCCAGCAGATGCCATAACTTGAGACCATGCAGCCCCCTCTCCTCCTCCATGAAAAAACTACTCATGAAAAGAACTGAATGCCCTTATCAGAAGAAGATGATCTACACTTGTAAATTCTTTGGTCATGTCATAAGAAGGAGAAAACTGGAGTACATCATGAAAGTTGGAGGGGAAAAGAGGCAGAGGGAGGGTGAGAGAGAAGATGTGAGACAGTTTAATATCATCGTACGGAAGAATTGACAAAGTACACAAGAGAGAAGGTTGTGGTTGGACATAACTACCAACACCACATGGTGTGGACTATAAGAAGAAATTGCTGTGATGACAAATTGATTAAAGTACCACTAGACTTGTTGAAATCCATCATGAATTGTACAAATAGTAACACCAATGAGAAGTGGCTGGTGGAGTGGTTAGAACCATTGGGTTTCACACAGAAGACTCGGATTAAATCCTCAGGGATGGAGATTTTATTCTGTCCGAGAAAAAATACATATCTTACCTTGCGCAGTTTGAGGCAGCTTCACAAGCCCTGCAGCCTCTTGCCATGAGAAAGCTTTTTTTCCCCGGCGGGTACGGGTTTTGATTGACATGATATCTTTGGACAGTGCCCAGTATGTCTGTATGACAATTGTGGTACTGGCTACAGCCGTGTAGTAAATAGACATGGTTCGCATACAATTACTCCCGATGTTTTTTTTAAATAATATCTTCTTCTTTTTCTTAGCACTTCAGTGGAAAGTTCTGGTTGTTGGGCCACTTCTGGACTTTGATCTTGTTTAAGAAATCAACTTTTTTGGGCACAGCCATTTTACAGGTCTCACTTATTTGTATGCAGACTGTTAGTTCATTGCTTCACAGGAAACACCTCTGATTGGTCACTTTTTACTACATGCTTTGTTACTGGGGACATTGGCTCTGTTTACTGTGAAAACGAAGCCTTGGAAACACACTCAGTGATTTTGTTTAAATATTATTAAGAGTAAAACAAATAGATTTTTAACACTATGATGGTATATAATATTCTAATTGCATCACACTGCTATTTGTAGCAAAGTGACAGAAACCACTTTTTATTGGTCAGCAGGAAGAAAATCAATCAATTCTTTGCTTAGTTTGTATTTAGTGACTACCTCCCTTCACATAGAAATAAAACGTGTCCGTAATTTAGTTTGAAAAAATTTTGTTTTGTTTTGTTAGTGACAAAGAAATTACACCTGCTTAACTGCTTGTGGTCTAGGGGTTCATCACCCTGGTTGTTTATGAACACTGAACAAGACTGAAAACTTCTTCTGCTTCTTCTCTTCTAGTTTGTAGAGTTTCAGAGAGGTATAAGGAGGCTAGGCAGAAAAGAATGAAATGGTTCAGCCATCTAGGGAGAATGCAGCTAGATCGAACTGTATATGAGACTTAACAGCAGAACATCTGGGAGGAAGACCAAGAAAGAAATTGATAAATGGCGTAGCAGAAACCTGCAAAAAAATAAAACAAGGCACCAGAGAAGCACAAGCCAAATACAGATAAACACAACCTAGCTACAACCTGGTATTAATGAGACGACAAAAGTAGAAGAAGATGAGGTTTTTTTCGTTTTTAACTTTAAACAAAATTTGAAGAAAAAAGATTTAAAAAAAAAAAGAAACTGATGGACTTCCATGTCCTTCATCACAAAGCATTAAATACAGGTAGTTAAATGAAAACCAAAGCTGTTCAGGCAGTTTCCAGAAGAACCGAATGATTCACAGATCTTCTAAAAAAAGAGAAATACATTGTCATAATCCAATTTTTCTTATAATGGGAATAGATTCTCAAATTAAGATCTGTATTCCAGTAAATTGTCATCTCCTGTTTCATTTATCTCCCTAAAAATTATAAGTTCTCATTTATATTGTGCACAATAGAAATTTCTTATTCTAATTTTGCTTTCCCACAAGTTTCATTCTAATGTTTCATCCACAGAAAATTCGCACATCATATTCAAACTAACGCAAGCAATAGAAGAAGACTCTCTACCAAAAATGGTCTCATTGATTGAAGAACAGGAAGTGGATATCAATTCTACATTATCATTTGGTGTCTGCATTCTTCTCAAGGCTATAAGAAGCCGATCAAGAAGGATTGTGGAATATCTAATTGACAAAGGAGCCGATCCGGAATCATCTATACGAGATATGATGAAAAGGCCGGATGGTTTAGAAGTTGAATATAGTAATTGTAAACGATATGACCAATGGAACACTGACATACTCAAAAAGCTGCTACCAAGAATGGGAGAACGACTTCATACAATTGTCGACGCTGAAGGCAGAACTCTTCTTCACCTTGCTTGCTACTTCCCAGACCTCTCATTCTTTGAGTACTTGCTTCGGTTTGGACTAGATCCGAATGTTAAAGACAACAAGGGTTGCAGTGTGCTGAGTTTGCTCATTTCACATCAAGATACAAAAGCCTCGTATGAAATGGTACAACTGGTTCTCTCCTTACCGAGTACCCAGGTGGATATTCGAAACCATGCTGGTTTCACACCTCTTTATCAAAGTTTCTTTATGAATCGTCTTGAGTTTTTCTATCTTCTTCTTTATAATGGGGCCGATCCATTTATGAGGACTCACAATGGAAGCACCTTAATGCACTGTCCGTTTCTTCATTGCCATAAATACATGATTCTGTATGATATTGGCCTCGATGTTAATGCAAAAACTAACTCAGGACTTCGGCCATTACAAAATAAAGCAGAACTGAGTTTTGATTTTTTTATTTTAATCCTTTTGGGGCGTGAAGTTTTGGAGGATGAGTATTCAAAGATGGAAAAGACTTTTGAGCCAAGAGTTGTGAAGAAGATTAAAGAGAAGGTAGAAAGAGGTGAATTTGCTGCCAATCGCCTGCAAGCACTGTGCCGACGGAAGATTCGTCAGATATTGTTCCAGAAAGATCATACTTACGTCACAGAAAACATATGGTTGCTGCCCCTTCCAAAGCCACTTAGGTTATATTTAGACGTAATATTATATGCTCAACATTTGTTGGAAGCACTGGGACATTAACGTATTTTGTATTATATAACTGTTTTTATGGTGAGGGCTGTGGAAAATTTGATACATTTTTACAAAGTCCAGTGAAATAAGTGTGGTAACAGTTTTGATTGCGTGCAGTGATACACAGCTATTTTCTACCATTAGTGAAATGGTTTGGTGAAATTGCATAATGAGCTGTTCTATTTATTTGACCATAGTTGTTCTATTTATTTGACCATAGTTCTATTTATTTGACAATATTTGTTCTATTTATTTGACAATAGTTCTGTTTATTTGACAGTAGTTGCTCTATTTATTTGACAATAGTTGTTATATTTATTTGAGAATAGTTTAAGCAGGAAATATATTTAATAACTGTTTAAACCAACAGTTTGCATACAAGTAAGCAGGATTTGTAAAATGGAGGTGCAGACAAAACTCAAATTGTGGAATAAGACCTAAGTCCAGAAGGGACAGACAACCAGAAGTTTTTGTGTGAGTTTGCAGCTGATGAACTCTAAGGAAGAAGAGGTAATAACTGTAGGAAAATGTGTTTAATCAACTTTCAAAAATATATTTATTAATTTTTACAACATGTGTTATGTTAATTGTAGGAAAATATACTTCTTTTTAGTGTTCACTGGCTGTTTACTCTGGCGGCAAGTTCCAGTTGTTTGTCCACCTTTGGACTTTACCCTTGATCTAGAACTTGGGTTTTGTGTGTACATCCATTTTACAGAGCTGTCTTATTTTATGCAGACTGTTGGTTTCTTTCATCTCAGGCCCATGCACCCCAGCTTTAAAGGAAACGCCCCTAATTAGTTGATTTGTATGACATGCATGTTTAGGGGCAGTAATTCTGTGTCCCCTCCTCGGCCACCCCCAAATAAGGCCCCAGAACCTGCATAAGAAGAAAATATATTGAACAACCATTAAATCCAGGAATGTGAATTTCAAACCTTTAGGACAGTATATGTTATGACAGTTTAAACTGGTTTGGATACCAAACAAGAATGCCCTGGTACTATCTACCACAGCGAGCCACACTGAAATGTTACAACGGGCATAAAGTGAGGGGAAGACCTAGGAAAATATGGAGTTATAGCACAAAGAACAGCCTTACAGATATTAACATTAGTCTTAATAGTGCTCTTGACAGAGCTCATCAACGATCTTTACATCTTCCCCCTACACTTCACTGAGGTACAAGCTGGAAGAGAAGTACAATGGTAACATAAAAATCATCTTTGTTAACAATTGTAATTATGTGAGAGAATATTTGATCAAGATCCACAGTGGTGCAGCAGCTTACACGCTTTCCTGCCAGCCTGATGGTCACATGTTCAAATCCCCATCGAGGAACTGGTTATGGAAAATTGACCTTGTCTCCCAGGTGGACATAGCCTAAAGTGGATATATTTGGAAGCGAACTAAACAAATTGTCATGAATCAAGAGGTGAGGAGAAGATGTTGGCTTTGAACAGGACACACATTGAGAGAACCTGAGAATAGTATAACTAAAAGAGCTTTACACTGAAATCAACAGGAGCATAGAAATGACAGCAGACCAAAAAAAAAAAAAAACATTGAAGGGAACTGAAGAATGAAGTTAAAAAGACTGGGAGGAAATGGGGCAAGCTGAGTGTGATAGGACGGCATGGCGTTAGTTGGTTGAAGGCCTATGCTCCATTGATGGACAAAGGACAGAAGAAGAAGAAGAAGAAGAAAGTGGATACCAGAAACTTTTCTGCAAGTAAAGTTGACAGGTGTGATATTGACCAGATCGCCCCCCATGGAGAGTCAGTTGGTCTATAAAAATGTTTATATTATGTAAACATTATTTATTTCTGTATAAAGATGTTTATATTATGTAAACATTATTTATTTCTATATAAAAATGTTTATATTATGTGCACATTATTTATTTCTCTATAACATTTTTTATATTATGTAAACATTATTTCTCTATAAAAATATTGCACGAGCACCATGTACCCAAACTTTGGCATGGAAAATAGCTCTTTGCTTAACTTAGCATTTTTATTTTATCAGTTTTGCAGTAGAAAAGTAAAGACACTTTGAAACGTATATGAGCTTAGAAAAGCATGTGAGCTGAGAACAGGCTTAGAAAGGTATAAAAGCTTGGAAAGGTATAGAAACTAAGAAAAGTGTGCAAGCTTAGAAAAATATACTAACGGTTAGTTTGGCATCAAGAAAGTATATCTGGGAAGTTTCACAATAGAAACTTATGAATTTATTCATTGTCTTATTGTACCCTTGCATGTCACATAGGGCTCGTGGTATTTCTCAATTGGATTCTATCCTGGGCAGTCACTATGATATCATGGACTGAAACCAGTTGGTCACCCTTGGCTTCTGTCATCACTGTTCATCTTAGGGTTTCTTTTAGACATTCTCTTTTCCCTCAATCCTCAGTTTCCCATTTCAGTGCCTGTTTGATTTATGTTCATCTCTTCTCAGACTGCGTCCAGTACAGCGCCCTCTTCTCTGTCTTAAAATTGTTGATACGAGCGGTGGCCCAGACATTTCTGTTATTTATTTACCCCTCTTGAATTCACCACATTTTGTGTTCACCATTTTCCTCCGGTATTTGTTTTCAAAATGTATTTAACTTTCGTTCCATTTCTTTAGTGGCTCTTCAATAGTCACAGAAGAAAAGTATATTTAATAACAACTCAGCATCATGGATTTATATTTGAGAGTAATTTGACAGTTAAAAAAAAGGGTGTAATGAAGATTCTTGACATAAGTAACTCACAAAGGAAACCCACATCAGGAAAGGGCAATCAGTATTGGTCACATCATGAGTATGGGGAGGGCTGTGAGCACATGACTTGTTTTGTGTGTGTTTTTTAAGTATCCAGAAACCATGAGTTGTTAACCCTTTGGCTCGGTACTATGGATATGGCAACCCTTCGGCCTTGATTCCATGATAAATCTGGGAGGAAAGTGGCTTTTCTACCTACCTCCAAGCGTGAACCCCGACCACAAGGAGTTCGTCGCCACACAGTTCGGTTTAGCCAACTGCGCTAGCAAGCGGGGCACATGACTTGTTTTGACATAACAGTTCAAAATCCTTGGCCACAATAAGATATATAACCCTGGTCTTTTCACTGTTGTGCAGTTCCCTCATTGTTTCATTAACCACTGTTCTTAAAGCGTCAAGTGATATCAGGACATGAATGTTGAGTTCAGATTCTTCTTCTCCTCCTTCTCCTTCTTTCTCTCCTTCTTTTTCTTCTTCCTCCTCCTCCTCTTACTCTTCTTCTCTTCTTTTTTATCTTCCAGTGGAGCATAGACCATCAACCAGCATACGCCAGTCAATTGCCATACTATGCAACTTACCCCATGTCCTCAAAATAATTTTTTTAAAACTTGAATCAGAAAAGACTTCCCTAATCTTTGTAGATAAAGCAATATAATGCATTATGCAATATTATGCATTATTTTTACAGACTTTTTCATGTTTGGTTTGTTTTTGTGGCTATCACTTTTTATGATTATATGCCAGGTAGGGTGACTGGATAGAATAAAGATTAAGGTTAGCTGCGTATCCTTTACAGGACGTTGCAGAACCAACCCCAACAGCCCCTGGCTATTGTGTAGTTTTTCTAGGCAAATTTTAGGTTCAGTAATTTGCCATTGCTTTCTGGACCAATGCAAGGGGCATGGCCTGCAGCTGGAATCGAACCCGGCATTACGAAGTGTTCGCATCGACTTAGCCACAGAGCCGACAGAATACAGATTAGTTAAGCAAAATTGCGTTTGGGCTTGTAGAAGGTAGGATCAGGTTGTAGTACATAACTTGGTAGAAAATGAATGAGGAAAACAAAAGTTTGTTTCATTATGTAGCAAGTGTTTTTAACCAACATATGCTATCCTGATATAGAATCAGTCAGAGATTCCTTTTAGTATTTGCACATAATACACTAATAATTTATAATTTCGTATTCACTTGAAATATTTGTAATGTAATACTCTTCTTTAAGAATACAAAATATAATCAAAATAATGACAATTTTATATACTTTTGTAATAATTTAAAAAAATCAGTTAGATTCTATTTCAGACATAATCTTTAAACATCTGGTCATGTAATGTGATGCAAAGTAAAGTTTGTACTATGTGTTGTGTAGGTTGTTGTATTTTTTCAGTCTGTGTTTTCTTGCACTTGCACCCTGAACAGTACAGACTCAGTAAACATTTAGTTGAATTAGGTAGGAGCCTAACAGCTTTCGTGGCGTCCGTGGCTAAGGCGTTGCGAGTTCGACTCGTAAGCCAGCATACCGCGATCGAAACCCACTGCAGGCTGCGTGGATTTTTATCGTGGTATGGGACGTCGCAGGTCGACCCAGCCTAAAATGGGTACCAGGATGGGCTGTCCTGGGAAAGTAAAGACAGCCGGCGTAATGCTGACCACATTACCCACAGAGTGCTGATGGTCTGTAAAAATATGGGACGCTCTGCCCATATGCCCGATGCGCCGAAAGGCGGAAAAAGGGATCTTTACTTTTTTACTTTACTAACAGCTTTTTGCCAGTGTCTTTGTGCTAAACAGTCCACATGCGGGGGGTTGTCCTCTCCCTGAGGAGCTGTGAAGCAACATGTGGCTACACCCGGCAGACCTGGCTACACCCAGCAGATCTGGCCACACCCAGCAGATCTGACCGCACCCATCAGACCTGGCTACACCCATCAGACCTGGCCACACCCATCAGACCTGGCCACACCCAGCAGACCTGGTCACAACCATCATACCTGGCCACACCCAGCAGACCTGGCCACACCCAGCAGACCTGACCTCACCCAGCAGACCTGGCCACACCCAGCAGACCTGGCCACACCTAGCAGACCTGACCACAACCAGCAGACCTGGCCACACCCAGCAGACCTGGCCACATCCAGCAGACCTGGCCACACCCACCAGACCTGGTCACACCCACCAAACCTGACCACACCCACCAAACCTGGCCACACCCACCCGACCTGGCCACACCCACCAAACCTGGCCACACCTAGCAGACCTGACCACACCCAGCAGACCTGACCTCACCCAGCAGACCTGACCACACCCAGCAGACCTGGCCACACCCAGCAGATCTGGCCACATCCAGCAGATCTGACCACACCCAGCAGACCTGGCCACACCCACCAGACCTGGTCACACCCACCAAACCTGGCCACACCCACCCGACCTGGCCACACCCAGCAGACCTGGCCACACCAAGCAGATTTGGTCACACCCAGCAGACCTGGCCACACCCACCAGACCTGGTCACACCCACCAAACCTGGCCACACCCACCCGACCTGGCCACACCCACCCGACCTGGCCACACCCAGCAGACCTGGCCACACCCACCCGACCTGGCCACACCCACCCGACCTGGCCACACCCAGCAGACCTGACAACTAAGCCATGGGGAAACCTTGAGTTGACATGCCAGTTAATTGGCCCACAGTGGATTATGGGCATGATCAGGAGTCACTGAAGATGAAGTATTTTGTTATAGTTGTTTGGTACAGACATGAAAGACTTTCTAATTCAGCACATGGCTGTATACAATGTGGCAAATGATGTAGGTTGAGATGTGGCTGAAAAAAAAAAAATGAATATGTAAAGCGCTGATGAAAGATGAAGTGCTATAATAACACTCATCTGATTTCTTCATTCTCCCCATATAGTAGGTTCCTGGGCCCAATTATGGGAGGAGAGGAAGGGTATCTGGTGGAATGGATCCACTACCTCCCAATCGGGCATGTCATAAAAAGTGACTAATTGGGGATTTTTCCCTCTGAACTCTGGGCACATCTGCCTGGGAGGCAAAGAACTAACAGTCTGCATACAAATAAGCAGATGTGCAAAACTGATGTGCACACACAATTCAGGTTCTGAAATAAGACTAAAGTCCAGATGAGGAGGAACAGACATAACTTTTCGGAGGAGTTTGCAGCAGATGAACGTTAAGAAGAAGAAGATCTGTTTCATCTGTATCCATTCCCACAAGAAAATATCCGCTGGCCACAAGTTTAAGAACATGGCTGTAGAGAACTGCACGGAAGATGTCACAAGAACAAACAGTATTTTACGGATCAATGAACTGAGTTGAGATTAGAATTGACATCACAGCACTAAGGGCATTTCCCATGTGCATGCTCCATCCTTATCTTCAGCAGCCAGCGCAGAGTTCTAATACTGATGGTACCAGTCACAATCAGAATGTAAGGGATCAATATAGCAATGCAGAGTATTGATAACAAGTCATTTATTGAACATTAGGAAACATAATACTACTGCTACTATCCTTGCTATGCTCAAAATATCAGTGTTGCTACTAATACTGCTGCTACTTCTACTACTGTCACCTCCGATATACCTAAAACTACAACTGTTGCTACTAATATTGCTGCTGCTATTAAAAAATCACTGCTACTACCACCACCATCATCACCACCACCACTGCTATGACCACCTCTATCCCCATCACTACGACTACTGCCTCTGTGAGTAAACATTGCTTAAACGTTTCAAGTCGCAGATATTGTCACATTTACATTAAAGGGTTGATAATTCCAGGAGCATTGCATTACATGGTCTTGTCCACCCAGTGTCAGATTTATCCTGATAGATCTCTGACAGGCACAGATCTACCATAACGTGTTTGTTTGAGTGGCACAGTTTCTGGGCGATACACTCCAGGTGAGTCATCCCCGAACACCTCAAACTCCACACTTCGTACATTGGATGGGACAGCTTTAGCTTGGAAAGGTTGCTGTCCGCCACAGAATAGTCGGATCGAGCCTGCGGGAAAAAAAAAGATGTCAGTGACACACAACTTCTATACGTTAAACCTGTCTCACAATGTCTACACGTTAGACTTGTCACACAACTTCTATACGTTAGACCTGTCACACAACTTCTATACATTAGACATATCACACAACTTCTATACATTAGACCTGTCACACAACTTCTATACGTTAGACCTGTCACACAACGTCTACACGTTAGACCTGTCACACAACATGTACACGTTAGACCTGTCACACAACGTCTACACTTTAAACCTGTCACACAATATCTACACGTTAGACCTGTCACACAACTTCTATACATTAGACCTGTCACAGAACTCCTATACGTTAAACATGTCACACAACTTCTATACATTAGACCTGTCACACAACGTCTACACGTTAGACCTGTCACACAACTTCTGTACGTTAGACCTGTCACAGAACTCCTATACGTTAAACATGTCACACAACGTCTACACGTTAGACCTGTCACACAACGTCTACACGTTAGACCTGTCACACAACTTCTGTACGTTAGACCTGTCACAACTTCTATACGTTAAACTTGATACGCAACTTCTATAAGCGAAAGAAAAAAGAAGAAAACAGTTTCTATACATTAGACCTGTGACACAACTTCTATACGTTGGACCTGTCACATAACTTTTGTACGTTAAACCTGTGACAACTTCTGTACGTAAAACTTCTCTCATTACTTCTACATGTACACCTTACACATTACTTCAATACGTTACACCTGTGACAACTTCAGTACTTCAAACCTGTCAAAAAAAGTTCTCTATGTTAGATCTTTCACTCAGCTTCTAAACATAAGTATGTTACTTCAAAAAGTAATGACTACAGTAAAGGATTATGCTTATGCTAGTGATACGTCAGATGTATGATACAAGATTTATATTTTTTAAGACATGTCGGCTCTCATTAGGTGACGTGGTCAACATCCGCCGACCACCTTTACTTACCAGGACATTACGTGATGCCATTTTAGGCTGGGTCCACCCAAAAGCTAAATAAGGTCAACTACCACTAGACCTCACATTAAACTTCTGTACACTTCGAAAGTTAAAAGTCGGGGAGATCGACTTTACTGCAACGAGTCTGATCTCATGTGGCTCGGTCACTCTCTTTTCTTTATGTCGGCCCCATGGAGACCCCTTCTACACATTTTCTACATCTCACAGTCTGTAAAATTGACGCCGACGACCTCCATAGCCTATAATGGGCACCATTTTATTTAGGGGACTTAACGCCCAATTCAATTTTATCTAATGCTTTTAAGAACGGCCCTCGCCGTTCACAGCTTTCTATGGTTAATATTATTTCTGGTGGTCACACATGTGTCAACTATTCAACTGGTCAGATATGTGATTTTTGTCTATTATTGTTCGTATTTGGTGGTATTGTAGATTTATGTAATGTGCCGATGAAGGCTCTCTAGCCGCAACGTTCACTTTTCGCTTTTGTTTGTGATATTGTGACGCCGACTGCTTCTAGTTTTTGTTTGGTTTAATACTTTTTAACGACAATTCCACACATTTAACCAGACACTACCACACATCTAACCAGACAATTCCACACATTTAACCAGACACTACCACGTATTTAACCAGACACTACCACACATTTAACCAGACACTACCACACATTTAACCAGACAATTCCACACATTTAACCAGACACTACTACACATTTAACCAGACACTACCACACATTTAACCAGACACTACCACACATTTAACCAGACGATTCCACACATTTAACCAGACATTACCACACATTTAACCAGACACACACCTGTTTGCACCACCCAGCCTCCACACATTTAACCAGACACACACCTGTCTGCACCACCCAGCCTCCACACATTTAACCAGACACACACCTGTCTGTACCACCCAGCCTCCACACATTTAACCAGACACACACCTGTCTGTACCACCCAGCCTCCACACATTTAACCAGACACACACCTGTCTGTACCACCCAGCCTCCACACATTTAACCAGATACCCCACTACACATCTGTCGGTACCACCCAGCCTCCACATATTTAACCAGATACCCAACTACACATCTGTCGGTACCACCCAGCCTCCACATATTTAACCAGACACCCCACTACACATCTGTCGGTACCACCCAGCCTCCACATATTTAACCAGATACCCCACTACACATTTGTCGGTACCACCCAGCCTCCACATATTTAACCAGATACCCCACCACACATCTGTCGGTACCACCCAGCCTCCACACATTTAACCAGACACTCATCATACACTTGTCTGTACCACCCAGCATCGACATATTTAACCAGACACACCCACTACACACCTGTCTGCACCGCCCAGGCTCCACTGTTCCAGTAAGACCAGCTCTCCCAGGCCACATCAAACGTGTGGGTTATCTCCGTCTGTGTCTGAATCAGGATTCGGTTGAAGTAGACCAGCTGTATGTGTGGTACAGGTAGGGACCGATTCTGCCATTGTATGTAGCACTGGAGCACCTGAGTAAGGTCACCACAAGATAGACACGTATCTTACACGATTGCTAAAAATTATTTTATTTTTAATGTACGCGAATAGGGAAATTCTTTTTTTTTTTATGAATGGGAAAAATCCTACTCACAAAGAAGTAAACAAAATAATATATACTTTCTGAGAAATTTCCCATTTTCTGTTTAAGGAAAGAACAGTTTTTTTTAATCTTATTCAGCTCTGAGTCAACAGTTGTTATACTGACACTTGCTCGCTTAGTATTGCGCGCAAAACGATATGCAACTATAAATTCAACAAGCTTAGATCTGTGCTAAATCAGACTGGCCAGCTTACCAAGCAGACTGCTCCAGGTCATACCAGGTCACTGCAATATTAGGAGAAATACATTAGCAGGCTAGTTAGCACAAACTGGAAGTCCACAGAAAAGCCAGATACAGGGGGTATTTATGAGGAAAATAAAACACAAACCCAGCCAGACATTAGAACCCATTGGAACATTTCCCATGTAGGACACAATCATGAAGACCTGAAAAAAAAAAAAAAAAAAACCAGACATTTATATTTAGATTGCATACTAGACACAAAGAACTCAGTAGCCAAATATAAGGAGGACCTTTAAGCTTAGCGATTCCGAACTTTGCTCATTTGGACAGGCACTGCAGAATACTGAACATGTGATACAGACAAGCGCTCGCTACATGCAGTAGAGAGATCCTACTTGTGGCCGGTTGCCATTTCAGTGTTAAACAAGCTGTATAGAGCAGTAGAAGACATGCGTCGTATCACAGACGACTTCACAGAGGCCCGTGGTCTTCTTATCTAAAAACCACTGACAGGAAGAACAACAAGAAGTAGCGTCTTATTTCTGTCTTCTATTCAAATCCCCAATATTCTGCTTAGATATCTGAACTCAGAATGTTGAATCTGTGACTCTGCATGATGAGGAAAGGAGCGCTGGAAAATATCGTGACGACTGGAAAGATCAATGGTAGAACAGGCAGAGGCAGATCAAGAGAAATGAAGGTGGATGGTTTAAGACTGTGGCATGGAGGAATATCATCAGTGGAATTGATCGAGATCTACGGAGATGCACGAACGCCTCTCGCCAGCTGAAAAGGCATCTGATGATGATAAATTTTGAATGTTGAACTATGAATCGACATCACAACACTCGGTACATTATTATAAGCGCTCCGTCCTTATCTTCAGCAGCACGTGCATTGGCCCAGTTTCGATGGCAACAGTAACAGTCTGATTGTATATCCGTTTCTTCTTTGTCTTGAGTGTTAAGCGTCGGCCAGATACCTTTTGTAACTCCTCGCAACCCCATTCTCCTTAGACCGTGCAGATCTATTTGCTGAACCCTAAGGTATTCTGGTGTGCAATTTGAACCATTTCACTCACAAAATTTCAAAGATTTCGAATGTCAAAATCTTGAAAAAAATTATGTTCTTTTCACTAGCTGTTTTTTTTTTTTTTGTAAGTTCTATAATAAACTGAGCGCTGAGTGATAACTAACTAGTAGCTGATAACTAACTGATAAAACATCCTGGAGAAGTAAAGACGGCCTGCGTAATGCTGACCACATTACCCACATAGTGCTGATGGTCTGTAAATATTCGGGCGCTCTTCCCATACACCCGATACGCCTAAAGGCGTAAAAAAGAATCTTTACTTTTTTGTTTGTTTACCAATTGATAAAACTGACAGCCAAATCGGCCTTACCTCGTCCGCATCATATGGTCCTTTGTTTGCAACGGAGACAGTCACAGAAATGTTATGTCGTGGTAATCTCGTGTAGGAAACGGTCAGTTGGGTGTAGGTAAAGTGTGAGTAAGACAGGCCATATCCGAATGGATACAGTGGATCTGAGTCCAGGTAGCGGTAAGTCCGGCCAACCATTGAATAATTTACCATTGGTGGAATCTGAAAGAATAAATGTAAGTTTAATTGCAAAACGGAACCTTACACGCTGGCATATGAAAGATCATGCAAGGGGTCTTCTTCGCAAAGCGGTTGTAGTAGTAGTAGATGTGTACCCCACCAGGACATCAAACAAGCGATAAACACCCGATGACACAAAGTGCTACCATGTGGATGAGGATCACCCGTGGAGGGGTCCCAGAAACCGCGTTCAGCCATTAGACCATATTTCTGGTCGGGCCATATACATTGCGGCGCCTGTCAATAGCCAGAGTGGGGCTTCAAATAAGAAAAATTGCATCTCACAAGGAGATGACTGGATTATTGTAAGGCGAAGTGGTTAAAGACCGAGTTCTTATATAAGTGGGTTCACTGTAGCATCATCATCATGTGCCATGTCGACAAGTGTAGGCTGTCATGTTTTCGCTATTTCACATGATTGTCAGAGTCACTGATCAGATCTGTGTTTTTGTCTCGCCCTATTCATTTGGATAAGCTATCCATGTATTTATCTCTTCGCTTTTCCATTGTTCTCTTTCAATCTATTTCACAATCCCTAAAATCTTTTTTTGAAAGGGGGGGGGGAGGGGGGGGGGGGGTTGGGTTGGGTTAGGGCGAGGAGGTAGGATTGGAGAGGGGTCTTAAGGTGCCTGAGCCACCAAGTTTTTATATATTTTTTTTAATTGATAGTTTTTTTTTTCCCTTCCAGAATTTCAGGCTGAAAGATTAACCCGTCAAGAATGTGAATCAAACAGGTACAAATCACAGTAAACCTATTCAATCATATAACCTTATAGTGCATGGTCTTGAGGCATAGTGTCCGCGTCGAATACTATCTCCGTTAAGGGCTGGGATTTTTTCACGTGGACTTGGACTTCTAGTAATTCCCCCCGGTCTCTGGGTAGTGAGATCGGACGCCCGTGTGCATTGTTGTGCACGCAAAAAATCCCTTGGCAGTTGGAAATCGAAAAGAGTATCCTAACGGCGTTGCCCAGGCGAAATTTGGAGTTTAAAATCTACCCAAAGTATTTCAAGATCCTCGCCGGTGCTACAGAGCCTGTGCACTGTGCTGAGCTTCTTCGGACTCAGACTTTAGTTGGAAGAAAGAACGGAGCACTTATGGGTTACTACCCCTGTGTTGTGATGTTGAACCTTAAACCTCATAACCATATAGCACAATACTGTATATCCCAATTATAACCCTGAAATGGGTATCAGGTACCGTCCTGGGAAGTAGAGGCGGCTGGCGTGATGCTGACCACAGCACCCACCTAGTGCCGTTGGTATAAAAAATTTAGGTATAGCCCTATATACCAAAAATGCCTGCAAGGCGTGGAAAAGGGTCCTTTACTTACTTTTAGATTCAAACCCCCTCCCCCCCAGGGGGAGTTTTTGATTATGTTGTGGTCGGTGTTTATTCGGGTCATATTTAATGGCTTAAAATTGCTCGCCACTAAGTGGCCCTGAAAATAACTTTTGCGATGATCCAACCAACTGTTGATGCGATGATCCAACCAACTGTTGATGCGATGATCCAACCAACTGTTGATGCGATGATCCAACCATTTCCGATAGGCTACCCTGCGACATTCCTGTAGTTGTAAAGAGGTGTGTCTTGATAGTGACCTAGCACGGTCAGATGGTTGCCGGTGCAGACAATTTCCAAAGGTACTGACATGTTTATACACTTCCAACTGTGGACAGGCTGAGAATGTGTGTGTGTGTGTGTGTGTGTGTGTGTGTGTGTTCTGTCGAGAAGCACAGTGAAGAAGAAAATCTATTTCTGAATCCAAAAAGTAATAATAATAATGATAATAATAATGATTTTGATTAGTACCTTGCCGCCTTTCCAGACGATAGTGTAAATAATAATAATAATAATAATAATAATAATAATAATAATAAAGATAATAATAATGTCCATAATGAACACAGCACACCAACCATGTATTAAATTCAACAACGAAGAGATGAAAATTATCACAGATTGTGAATAGTTAGGCTCAATAATGAACAAACATAGCGACTGCATGCAAAAGGTCAGAAAAAAAAAAATGATTTCCTTGAGCAAAGCAGAGGCGAAACAGTATGAAGAACCTATGGCATAGCACCCGAAAGCCAGTTAAAAATATAAAAAATTAAAAAAAAAAAAAATTTAAATTTAAAAAAAAAAAAAAAAAAAAATGCAGATCCTGCAGCCTTTTTGTGGGAATTAATGGGTTTAAGTCATGGACTCTCACTCAGTCTTTGTAGAGAAATAAAATGAGAGCTTTTGAACCGAAATGCTATAGAAACATTCTTAGAATACCGTGGACCAAGAAGAAGAAAATCCTGTAGGATCTGATGAACATCAAGGAGAACTGGCTCGTAAACAGCATCCTCTCCTGAGAGCTTTGGTATTTTGGACATGTCAAGTGACATGATGGTCTGGAGAGAACGGTTATGGAGGGTGCAGTTTTCGGAAAACGATGCAGAAAGTGGATACAAGACATTGAAGATGCATTACCCATTAAAGCTCAGGGGCTGCTTGCTTGTTATACCCCACCAGGACAATTCACAAGCTATAAACACCTAGTGACACAAAGTGCCACCATGCGGATGAGGATCGCCCGTGGAGAGTTTCCAGAAACCCCTTTCAGCCGTTATGGCCACAATTATGGCCCAGCTATATTCAGGGCCCCCGGCAAAAGCCAGGGTGGGGCTTCAGATAACGAAAAATTGCATCCCGCAAAGAGATAACTAAGACTTTATAGCAGATTTTTGCCCCACTAGGACATCACACAAGCGATAAACACCCGATGACACTGCCACCATGCGGATGAGGATCTCCCGTGGAGAGGTCCCAGAAACCGCGTTAAGCCTCTAGGCCATATTTATGGCCAGGCTATATTGCGGCCCCCGGCAAGAGCCAGAGTAGGGCTTCAAATAACGAAAAATTGCATCCTAATAAAGGACCTCAAGTATACATGTGCAGCAGGATTTTATGAAGGTAGTTTATACTGGAGAACTGGTTAGAAAAACTTTAAGTCGTACCGTGACGATGGCGACGTTCCGTAAAGGACGTGATGACTGATTAACTTACAAGTGACTGCGGGGCAGAACAACTAGACTGCTTACACAAATTTAACACAACCGTTTACCGTTTTATTTTAAACAGGGAAAGTCTCCACGTACCTGCCAGTCAAACTTTGGCCATGTTATAGGAACTCTGCCAGCAGGACAACTGTTACCTCCCTTGTTGACTATGACTGCAGCGATTGCGTCCCCTGTAGCCTGTGCTGGGAAAAAGCACTCGATGATGGCAGCCACCCGAGGTGACTCGTCAAAGACAGTTACATTTAATGGGCCGGCACTGAACAGCAACACGATGATGGTGGCGTTGTCGTCTGCGAAACACATTGTAAATATGTGAAAGTTCATATTCGAACATCTGGCAGACATTTTTGTATATGTGTCAGTGTATATTAGGACACTCCTCTATGCCATTACAAAAGGCAGTCAGTAATCTTCTCGCGTTGTCTTCCTCTAATCTTTACACGAATCATCCCAGTTGTCAGAAATGTACAAGAACTGATACAGTAGTGCACCTACCACCCAAGGCTAATGGTCTGCCCAACCATTGCTTTCAGACAGCATTTCCTCATCCTAGAATAAGGCTAGACTTGTTTGATCTTATCTTGAATCTCTGGTATCTTGTGGTGTCGAAGTGAAGAATGATATACCGGAAAGTGTCCGTTTGTGTGCTTCGTAAATGGGGGTTTCCGGGACTCTGTTATTTCCTCTGACCATCGCTTGCATGGTCGGCCTCTTCTTCGTTTCCTGCCTATTCTGTACATCATGGCTGGCTGTGGTATACTGTCTGCTGACATCCGCCTGGATAAGGCTAGCATTCTCCCCATTCCATCCTCCGCCCGAAGACGTTGGCACAAGTGGAATGTCAGGTTTGGTATGCCCCGCCCAATGTTCGTCGTTAACAGAGAACAATTAGTACCGACTACTTTTATACAGTAGCTCAGTCATTTCTGACCAAGTTAACAGAGAACAGGTAGTACTGACTACTGTTATACGGTAGCTCAGTCACATCTGACCAAGTTAACAGAGAACAGGTAGTATGACTACTGTTATACAGTAGCTCGGTCATATCTGACCAAGTTAACAGAGAACAGGTAGTATGACTACTGTTATACAGTAGCTCAGTCATATCTGACCAAGTAAACAGAGAACAGGTAGTACTGACTACTGTTATACGGTAGCTCAGTCACATCTGACCAAGTTAACAGAGAACAAGTAGTATGACTACTGTTATACGGTAGCTCAGTCATATGTGACCAAATTAACAGAGAACAGGTAGTACTGACTACTGTTATACGGTAGCTCAGTCACATCTGACCAAGTTAACAGAGAACAGGTAGTACTGACTACTGTTATACAGTAGCTCAGTCATATCTGACCAAGTTAACAGAGAACAGGTAGTATGACTACTGTTATACGGTAGCTCAGTCATATGTGACCAAATTAACAGAGAACAGGTAGTACTGACTACTGTTATACGGTAGCTCAGTCATATGTGACCAAATTAACAGAGAACAGGTAGTACCGACTACTGTTATACGGTAGCTCAGTCATATCTGACCAAGTTAACAGAGAACAGGTAGTACTGACTACTGTTATACGGTAGCTCGGTCATATCTGACCAAGACCCGACCAAAACCATTCTATAACAATCATAATTGTACAGTGGGAAAGAAATGGTTACTTACTATAGTTCAGGGTGTCCGTTAGTACGTTGCTTTGGTTTCCAGGAAGGTTGACATCCGGTCTGTCCCGTCCCTCTGATTCAATGACTGTCCCTAGTTGTGATGAGACATTGTCCTGTTAATCTACGTGTCTGGGTGTATGTAGGTCTGCCCGACTATCATGTTTCTGAACACCTGACTTTATTTAAATATATGTGTCGGTCTGTCTGTCCACACACACACACACACACACACACACACACACACACACACACACACACACACACACAAAATAGACACACAAATACACACACACTTGCGTGTGTGAATGTGTGTTTGGCAGCCGCTGTAGCGGATGTTCTCTTCAAAATTGACATTGCTTCTCTGGGTCGAACCAGTCTAAATTAGGTAGCATACCAGGTAATATCATGGGAAGTAAAGGCAGACAACGTGATGTTGCCCACATACCCTCCTATCCCGCAAATGCCGACTGATCTATAGGTCTAACAGTACACTCTTTTTTTTTCACCCCCATTGTACACCCTCTCAGGCTACTGTTAAGCAGTTTCTTCATGTTATCCTCCCATTTATATCACTGTATGCCTCTGGTTAGTCTCTGGTAATTTTTCTCATCCTGTCTGGTTTTTGTAAGAATGTTATGTCTTTTAATATGTTAAAATATTTCGCTCGTCTCTTAAAAAATAAAAATAAAATTATTTAGCAACTCTCCTTTCATTCTTGGTCTCTTCAAAATCTGTGCATTTGAGTCTTTTTGTTTCCATGAAATACAACATGTTTTCCTGTACCTTTGCATCTCCGGAGAGTCAGTTAAAAGTAAGTCGCGTATCCTTTACAAGACATTGCAGAGCCAACCCCAGCATTTGTTGGATGTTGTGGTTTTTCAGATTTACGTCTAGTAGTTTGCCATTGCTTTCTGGGCGGTCGGCTTCTCGATACCACCGTCGAACCAACGCAAGGCATGCAGCTGGGATTGAACTCGGCACACCGGCATTACGAATCGCGTTGGCAACGCCTAGGCCACAGATGCCGATAGGAGCCAGTACAATTTTCTAATGGCTTGTTCGGGTACCTTTTTCTTTGAATGTCCTCTTTGTCGTGGACAATCACATTTTTAATGTCTGTCTTACACTGACCATCTGCCGTTAAAGTTTGGACTAGACAAATGTGGTTCACTTACATTTAATCATCATCTTACCGGTTCCCAAAACTATAAAAATCACAAATCAAATCCACAAAAATTAAACACTGACATACCAGTTCCCAGAGTTTAAAAGTTGAAGAAAAACAAACAATCAACATACAGTTCCCACAGTAAAACAGTAAAAAAAAAAATGACAACATCAACATATCAGTTCCCAGAGTTACCACACACACACACACGTTCATAAAGCCACAACAATTAAAACGTTAACATACCAGCTCACAGAGTCACAAAAATGAAAAATCAAAACCAGAAAAATCAAATATCCAATCCAGTTTTCAAAGCCACAAAATTAGAAATATCAACACAAAATTCCCAGATCCACACAAATCAAACATCAACATACCAGTTCCCAGAGCCACAAAAATCAAATCAGCTCCAGTGACCAGGTTTTTGACCGTCTGCGGCTGGTAAGACTTGCAGGGCGGTCCGTCCAAACAGGCAGCTCCAAAGGCAATCCCTAGGAACACTGTTGCCAGACCCTGTAGCGGCGTTTTAGTAAATCCTCGGTCTTGTTGGGCGCTGTAGTCTCCAAATATCTGGCTAACATCGTCTGCCATAGGTCCAACAATCTGTCTTCAGACAAACATCTTAATAAAGTACTACTGTATGTATCTCATTCAGAAAGACAGTTTAGTATACGCCTGGTATAAATATCTAATTCAGAAAGACAGTTCAATATAGGTCTTGTACAAATATCTAATTTAAAAAGACAGGTCAGCATAAGTTAGGTACACGTATCTATTGGAAGAAAACATATAAACGCAAGACTGGCATATGTATCTAATTCATGCACAATGTTAAAAAGAAGACTGGCAGGGGCGTCCATACAGTGAATACAGTGGGTCGGTCAGGGGTGGTACCTCTGGGAAAGGAGTGGGGGGAGGGGGAGGGGGCGAGGGTCGAGATGGACTGGGCAACTCAGCCTACATAATATTTTTTTTATAGACAAGCCCTCAGTGGGCATAAGCCTGGTTTAAGTGCATGGCAATAATAATAATAAAGCTGTGAATGGCAAATAAATATAACTATATACCTGAAATAAATGGAATGTATAAATTAATATTTAAAAATATAACTTCTGTACTATACATGAGGGAGAGGGGGGCGGGGTAGAACTTACCCTTTACATTTTTTGGGAGGTGGGGAGAGAAGGTAGGCATCAAGGGCCTTATTACCTTCATGCTGTTTATACCCTCGGGGCTGATTCCTAAAAAGTTTGACACCACAACAAGATCAAAAGATCTCCGTCTGGATGACTGACAAACAAACAAGACTTGAACGTTTGACTGATATCGATATCTAGCTGACAATGGCAATACCATTATAGATATCTACTTACGTACTGATCATAGTATAAAGTGGCAATATTCTGATCACAGCATAAAGTGCCAATATTCTGATCACAATATTAAGTGTCCCTGTAATATTTATTTTCTGACCACAATAAAAAGTATCTTTTTCTGGCATAAATATAAACTCTTTTTTGTGTGTGTGTGACAACAACATAAAAAAGTCTATGTCTGTTTTTTTTTTTTAAATCACAACATAAAGTTTATATTTTGTGACCACAACAATAAGTGTCTATTTTTTACCACAACATAAAGTGCATATGTACTGACAGTAATATAAATTTTATATTTTCTGACTACAATATAAAATGTCAATATTCTGACCACAACATAAAGTGTCAAAATTCTGACCACAACATGAAGTGTCAGTATTCTAACCTCGACATAAAGTGTCAATATTCTAATCACAAGAAAAAGTGTTGATATTCTAACAGCAGCATAAAGAATGTATATTGTAACTACAATATAAAGTTTCAAAATTCTAACCACAGTATAAAGAGTCAATATTCTAACCAAAACATAAAGTTTAAATATTCTGACCACAAGATAAAGTGTCAACATACATTGTGTTCTAATCACACCAATGAGTGTCACAGTATTGACAATAACATAAAGTGTTTAAGTACTGACAACAACAAAAAGTGTCGTGGCAATGCAGTGATAACAAACATAAAGTGTCAATGTTCTATTCACAACATTTTGTGTCTTTTCGCCGACAACAACATAAAGTGTCTATGCACTGACCACAACATGCGTATATAGGGCAGGATTCAGTGGCAAGGCATTGTTCAAATTCTTCAGGAGGACAAAGGATTTGATGGCTGCCTCCACGGCCAAGGCCTGGTGCTCTGGAGACTCCACCACACTGCTGTCCAGACTGGCATAGGGGTTTTCGTCTGGGGGGTCAAACTCTCCAAGCCTCATTCTGGTGTAGAACAGCGGCTTGACCCTTTCTCGGACCAGGGCTTCGGTCAGCTTGCCTTGACTGACAGCGTCCACTGAAAATAAGAAATGTATGTGTACACTTCTATGCATGGCACCTCTCTTTTTGAGAATTTGTTTATAAATTTCATATTAATTAAAATTTTTACTATATTTTAGCCACAGAGAAGATTAAATTTTCCAGAAGAATGCTTAGAATACCTTGGACAGCTAAAAAAAAAAAAAAAGAAACCACGAGGTTTTGAAAGAGGCGAGAGCCCGAAGACAACTAAACACAGACGTCAAAATGAGACACTCATTTTTCGACCATGTTATGAGAAGAGGGAAATGGAACATGTGGTGACCACTGGAAAGATCTGTGGAAGGAGGGATAGCAAAAGACAACGAGAGAAGATTCTTGACAGTCTTGTTGCATGGCATGGAGGTGTGTCAGCACACGAACTGCACACGCTGTAGGAGATCGCAGATTGTGGCGAGGCATAATCACCCACGCCAGTCGGCAAAGCACCTGATGATGATGATACACTATTCGTATTCGTATTCGGCCAAATAGTTGGTCCCGCTATTCGTATTCGGCCGAATAGTGAAAATCACTATTCGGTTAGGTTAGTTGCGTATCCTTTACGGGACGTTGCAGAACCAACCCCAACAGCCCCTGGCTGTTGTGGTTTTTCTAGATAAATTTACTTTCAGTAGTTTGCCATTGCTTTCTGGACGGTCGGCTTTCTTGATACCACTGTCGAAACCAACGCAAGGCACATAGCCCGCAGCTGGGATCGAGCCCTAAAATATTAACCTAACCGAATAGTGATTTCCAATATAAAAATATATACATTTATACACAAAAAGGCCCCTGTATTTAAATTACGCACTAAAACGAGGCTTAGGTGCCCTATGAGTTCCTCACCATCACCACTTGTTCTTGGAACGATTGTAGGGGGTGGAGGGGGGGGGGGCACTCCCACTTTCCACCCACTCCTTCACCTGTTTTCTTTTTGTCGCTTCCAGGGCTTTTATTCTGGCGAGACGCGGTACTGGCACTTATTATGGTACCGTTTTTTTTCCCTCAGCGCTACTGTATTAGATAGAAGGTGTACCGGCACCTTTAAATACATGTGGTGAGTACTGGTACCCACACCCACCGGAACAAACAAACTCTAGTCGCGATCGCCCCCCCCCCCCCCCCCCCCCCCCCCCCCCCCCCCCTTTCCCCCACATCGGGCATGTCAAACATATGGCCTCTTGCAAAAGATTGTTCTCCCGATTGAATAGTTTCAATTAGTTGTATGTGGCCCGCATGTCGACACAAATGCGACCCATAAGGATCTCGGTGGAAGGGAAAAGGGGGGGGGGGGGGAGGGAGGGGATGGTAACCCTCAGTTCAAAATGCCCGCCCTACACAGCTACAGGTAATCCAATAACAGTAAGTGTTTTGACTGGCACTCATAGAAAGACCTACACAGCAATAAGAATAAACTCACAGGGAGCAAGTACAGCAGGGATCTACCAGTCGTCAGTAGAAATTATCCTCGTCGACACGCGTTTCGGCCCACGATTCCTAGACGCATTCGGAGGTGGGCCCTCCTGAGTTCATGAAGCTCAGGGCTGGTTCCCTGCTGCACGAAATTACCGGATGGTGTTTTTCTTTCTGCCAGAGACAAGACATGGTGGTTTCGCAGAAGGTACTGTGAGATAACAAGTCGCCGCGGCAGCCAAATTAAAGCAGTCAGCATGCCTGGACGACCGAGCGACAAGCTTACGTTTGGTTTACCGGACACAGCTAAAGTTAAACGATGCTTGGCAGAAACAGACGAGCTGAGAAACACAAACCTATTGACGTGAATATCGTGGGCTCGCTCGGGTCGGGAAGCTCCAAGTTTGTCCCAGCGTTGACACAGGCTGCTGCCGCATCGGCGCTAGAGTTGACGTAATGGAATCGTTGGAGAACGTTCTGTACAGCCCCTTCGTCACCGACAACGTACCCGGTAAAGTTCCAGTCATCTCGTAGGATGTCCGTTAGCAGTTCTTTGTTGGCGCAGGCTGGCACTCCATTTATGCTGGACGTGGAATAATATTTATGTTGTTTAATAGCCAGGAGATTCCAAGAAGTCAAGAATTAACAGAAATGGAAGGGATAATTTACGGGTAAAGAAGCAGGCTAGACCTACACGAAGGAAGACTCAAGATATTATAGGCACATTGGGCATGATGGAAGCTGAGGTAGCGTAGTGACTAGAGGCTTATATTGAAGACCGAATATCTTGGGTTCGAGCCCGTATGGATGGGAATTTTGTCACTGTTAAAAATTATATTATTTTCACGAAGCCGGTCATACGAAGAACGGAGCTTACCAGCGACCAATAGGGAAAGCACAAATTGCCTGTGCCTTCTGTATTTTCATGCCTAATTAAAGTCAGTATAGTAATGGGCTCTTTTGACACCAATTTACTATCGGGCATTCAAGGCTGTGCATACTTTTTATGGGCCAATCGGCAGTCAATCCGGTAAAAATGGACGATAGGCACGGTCACCGTTTTTAAACCGTTGCAAATTTGTGGCTTCTGACAGTTGCATTTTAATTCATTTGTAGACTGAAAGGATATAGTTTTGTTGCCCCAGCTACTGATTTGAGTGCATAGCTCGAAACTGTGAGCTGCTGATTTCGTTTGGAATGTTTTTCGACTGTTGTGACTAACGTGGTGGCTGTAGATTCAGAAAATTTCGCCTGGCCTGTTGCCACATAATTAGTGGTGTCTTATGTGATTAAAATTGATTGCGTGTGCAACTGCTGATCTGTTTGTAACTGCTGCCTCCGTCGATGATGAACTGCGTTTCTAATGTCAGACTGTTTGTGTTAGCATTTCTGATGGTTGCCTTATACTTTTAATGTACGTGTATGCTAGTGGATATGCTTATACTGCAGTCTGTGTCAATTTGTCCGCAAGGGACAGTGACGAACATGCTGTGTGTTTTTCGTTGGCACCGGAGCGGAGCAACTATGGAGTGAACCGGTTGCCACGAAGCTGAAACTAAGACTACCAAGATTACCATTGCACTCAGTTATGATGTAGTCAGCATCTCACCTACCGCCTTCACTTCACAGTATATCACTTGGTACCGACCTTAGGCTGGGTCGATGTGTATCCGATTGGTTAGCAACTGTACCTACCCGTATGATGGTCTTGTTTTCAATTCCCATTTAAGCATGAGTAATATTTTAAAACTTAGTATGTGACCTCTCGCCGACCCAACCTAAAATTACTACCAGCAAAAGCTGTGAGATTCTAATATTACTAATACTAATAGCAATATTACTAGTAGCTAACACAGTTAACAATGTTACTAGAAATTCTCTCTCTCACTCTCTCTCTCTCTCTCTCACCGTAGAATGGTTACCCAGCTACCGAGCACGGCGCACATAGAACGGGACTCTGAAGCCCCAGCAACGATCCACAGGGACTCCCTAAAAACTGAACTTGCAAACTGAATGATGCGTCCATAAAACGAATCCACCACCTTGAGGACGTAGGGCGAACGGCTTGACTACTTTGTCACAGAAGCAGCCCCCCCCCCCCCAATGCTTTCATCCTTTAGAGTAATGAATACATGCTAAATATTGCAAATTACATTTGATTATGCTAAAAACTTAAGGCTTCAATGAGCACCTCATCCACTTGTTAAAAGTGTCTCAAGAGACTGAGCACTGGACTAACCTGTTGTAGCTACACATGAGACTGAAGGTACCGGCTTGGACACATTTTTTGAAGGCAGGCAGGAATGTTGTATGCCAGTCGACATCTGAAACCTAAAAAATACACATTTTTATTATAATAATGTTTTAAGAAAGAAAAACAAAATCGGTAACTGTTTACGAAAACGAAATAGCTCCGGTGTTATCACGTCCAAAACATGAGGCAAAGAATATCTTACAAGATAGTTAACACCATGTGTCGCTGAAAGACATGTCTGTCCACTGCCGTCTTCAATCATTGTTGACACAGTTAAACTTCAATGCCATGATGTCCAACAGTAGAGCCTCTTCTCTCTCGGTCTCCCTGTGCTTCTTCCTCCACTTTCCCATCGTCACGATCTACTACACTTTTGCCCTTCTCAAGATATGACCAAAGAACATAAGAGTTTCCAGTTCTGATGTGTGCTATCAGTTCGCTTCCTTGGTGAACTATGCTTTCAAGACATCTTCGTTAAGAAACTGAGCAACTTGTAATCTTCATCGTCCACGCGTTTTCTTCATGTAGTTCATCTCTGTGCGGCGGTCGGCTATTGCTTGTAGAAAATGTTACGATAAGACAAATGCTGTAGCTTCGAGAACGACCTTCAGAGATTGTTTAAATTAACTGTACAGGGAAAACGAAATACGTAGAATGAGAACGAACCGATAACATTCAGAAGTGAGGCGAATAGCTTAATAATTTGATTTCCCTCCTGGCGATCAAAACGAGTTACACGATTTCTTCTTCTGCATTAGCTCTAAAAGGGCTATTGAATTGTTGTGTTGTTGTTTAAATTTAGGCTGATATCTCCGATTTTCAGCCCATCACATCCGATTTCTGAATATCCCCAGTTAGACATCATTTACCTGTTTTACACAAGACAAATTAAGATATAAGCTTGACGGTTGCTATGACGGTCACCTTACCTGTGCATCGAAGGTGAACCTGGAGACAGGGATGTTCTCAGGGCCGGCGTAAGCGTCAAAGTGCTTGCATCCGGCTGTTGCCTGCACGAATCTGGAGTGATTGCCTGGTTTTGTGACAGAAAGTTCCTCAATTACCTGGCACATATGTATGGCTGTCTTCCTGATTCTCGGCCTGTCCACCGTCTGTCACTGTCCAACTTTCTGTCTAACTGAGCAAATCTCCTTAGAATGTACACAGGCGTCCTGTGGTCGGCGTCCTGTGGTCAGTGTCATGTGCTCAGTGTACTGGTCACTCATTGATTCAAACCACCAATGCTGATATACCATACCCACCAGTTTAGGGACGCCCATGTCGACCCAGCCTTGAGTGGGTACCAGGTGCAGTCCTGGGAAGTAAAGGATGTCGGCGTGATACTGAACACGTCACCCACCAAGTGCCCATTGGTCTATAAAATTATAGGTCCAGCCCTTTATTCCCAAATACGTCTAAAGGCGTGGATAAGGGACCTTTACGTTACCAGTTTGGGTTCCCCGACTATTGTTTTTAGAGAGAGAGAAAAAAAAAATAGCCCCACTGCCCAACCCACTGCAAGTTTGTCGTAAATAGCGGTTTTCTAAAATCGGCTGTATTTAAACGAAAGGTGCAGATATCGCAGTCTAGCTATAAACCATAACACAACGCGCCAACCACCTTAATAAGTGCATACGGACAAAAAAAGAAGAATGTATACAATACCTTGCAAGCCCCAGACAAATTGTTGGGCCAGAACTCCGGTCAAAAAAAGGATCTTCACCGTAAGTCTCCTGTCAAAGTGAAGATTATGAATATAATTCAAAGATTTAATAATATAGTTAAGTATCAACGCATTTAAAGATGAAAAGAAAGAATGAGTAGTAATTTTAAGTATTGAAAAAAAAAAAGCCAAAATAATGTAAGGTGCTTTTCCTTTAAGAATTATCATCATCATCATCATCATTACCATCATCATAATCATCATCAATTGGCGAAATAAATATTAAAAAGGGTTGATAAATAACCGAGTTATGACAGTTTGAATATTTTGCCTATATAATTGAGTAAATAAACAGGTACCATGCCGTTGTAAAAAATTAATTAAAATTACTTTCAGGTTGAATTTTGCAACAAGACTTGCATTATTATGTATAGAAATAAACGCCCTTTTCATGTAGTGTAGACATGTAAAATTCCACAATTTTGAAAAAAAATGTGTCACTTTGGATGGTTTAACCTGTCCTTAATAATATAGTTAAGTATCAACATATTAAAAGATGAAAAGAAAGGATAAGTAGTAATTTTAAGTACTGATTAAAAAAAAAAAAAAGCCAAAATAATGTAAGGTCATGTTTAGTGATCTCAAACAATCAGAAAAATTATGGATCAGGTGAGAAAAATGAATGAAAGTTACTATTTAGCGTTTATAATAAGATGCCAAAATTCAGACGATCATCAACAGTTGTCTGCACAGGGGATTGCGGGGATGATATGGTTCACGTGCCAGTGTTTACACTGAATTATGTGAACATAAAATTGCAAGTGCTTATTATACCGTGATTTGCTTTGGTTGGCAGCTGATCTAGGAGGAAAGCTCCGAAAGAAGATAGACTGTTCTTCTAAACAGTAAGTTTCTTTAGCATGCTTTGTTCTAAACGTTTTGGTGTTTTCTTTTCTTTGGAATAAACAAGGCAGGCACGCTGAGAGTGTGTGCTTTGGAGAGGAGGAACTTCATTGATCTGTTATGTTATTTCACAATTGGACAGTATAATACGTATTGATTGGAAACACAGAAAGATGTCAACCATTTGTTATACCTGATTTCTGCCCCAGCGGGGATCCCTTGCGATATTGATCACCGGGCTGAAACAAGTTGCTCCCGTGTGAGAGAAAAACTGACCATTCTTGACGTAGTCGTTGTGTTTGCCGCGGACTTCCACTCCTATCGCGGTGGCCACTCGATACAGCAGGTCGGGACTGCGTAAATCAAACAAGGCTGCGATTATCAAGAATTTTCCAAAGAATAAAACAAAAGAAACAACAACAAAAACAAAAACACAACACTAGCGCTTTTGCTGGTAACTGTCTTCTACTGCACCCAGCTAACAGGCCTAGCCCAATATGCCGACACGCATCCCTCTTTTTCAGGGTTCTCAATGTGCCTAAGCCGTGTTTAAATACGTAATACTAAAATGTATTATTGCTGTTATGTGTTGAATGTTTAATTAGTATAATAATATATTTGAAACAATACGCAGTGTATAAGCACAAACTTCAAGGAAAATCTCTATGCATGGTTGCAGTAGGAAATAAACGGGCATGTAATCTGCGTTGGCTTTTTACAGATGTCATAGACACACGGCTCACAGTTACGTTATAGACGCAGGGCTCACAGTTACGTTATAGGCACAGGGCTCACATTTACTTTATAGACACAGGGCTGACAGTTACGTTATAGATGCAGGACTTAGAGTTACGTTATAGACGCAGGGCTCACAGTTACGTTATAGACGCGAAGCTCAGAGTTTCGTCATAGATGCAGGGTTAACAGTTACTTTATAGACGCAGGGTTCACAGTTACGCGGTAAATGCAGAGCTTAGAGTTACGTCATAATTGCACAGCTTAGAGTTACGTTATAGGTGCAGGGCTCAGAGTTACGTCATAGGTTTAGGGCTCAGAGCTACGTCATAGACACCGGCTCATAGTTACATCATATTTGCTTGGTTTACAACTACTTTCAACTATTTAATTTATGCTCGATTTTCTTTTGCACAGATTTCTGTGCGTATGCATTGTGTCTGTGTGTATGTATTGTATCGGTGTGTATGTTTTCTGCCTGTGATTGTGTGTATTTCTGTTTATGTTGTGTACATGTCTACAGTATGTGCGCCTCTGTGTGTGTAAGTGTGTTGTGTATGTGTGTGGCTGTTATATGTGAGTATTGTTGCACGCAAAGTTAGAAGTATGGATATTTTGTGTTTTATGCTTTTGTATATTTACTTTACATACATTGTATGAATAACATGAAAGATATATAAAACGCTTTAGTTCGTTCGTTCGTTTATTCGTTCGTTCGTTCGTCTTCATCAGCTTCTTCCTCTTCTTCTTCTTATTTTTCTTCTTCTTCTACTACTACTACTACTTCTACAACAACAACTATTACTACTACTACTACTACTACTACTACTACTACTACTACTACTACTACTACTACTACTACTACTACTACTACTACTACTACTACTACTACTACTACTACTACTACTACTACTACTACTACTACTACAATTACTACCGCTGCTGCTACTGCTATACCTACTACAACGATTACTACTATTATTTTATTATCCCTTCACTTCTGTATCCCTATTTTTGTGTCAGTAAAAAGCTGCATTTTAACTGTATTGCCAGTACAGCCATCAATCATGGCCTACTATTTAAAATGATAGCAGTATCCCTGCAACTGTAGCCACAATGAAATGTATGGTACCTGAATGCGGCTGCGAGTCCAATTGACTGCGGAAATGCTGTAGCGTTGCCGTTATAATCTGCAGCTCCATGGAGGCACTCTGTGGTCCAGTCAAACTGTTGAATACCTCCAGAAAGAGAATTATTCAATAGTTGCATTGAATAAACCAAACATAAACATCCGTTTTTCTATAGAAAGTCTAAACAGTTGTGTCAAAACTTCTATAGAACAAACGAAAAATACACATGCTTTGTGTTAGGCACATTCTAAGAAGGAGCAGACAGCGAATTACTTGACAGGTACTGAAACTGGAAACAAATTGATTAGGAAACGTGAATGTCCAAGTAAAACTCTAGCATGAGAGTACCAACTGTGCTGGACTGAATTCCTTCGATGCTTTCAAAAGGATTGCACAGGATAGGACCGAAACGGCTTCCTGTTGGTTTGGGCCCCATTCTGGAGGTTAAAATAACCAGGCAACTGCTTCTTTATGTCGTAACAGGTGACCAATTAGGAGTTTTAGGAAATCGGATGTTCTGGACCGAAAAAGGCAGAAATCGCAACCAAGCTGTAAGTCACAAGACAACGTTTCATTTTAAGGGCGAAACAGCAACAGTAGTAGCAGCATCAGCAGCAGAAGAAAAAGAAAAAGAAGAAGAAGAAGAAGAAGAAGAAGAAGAAGAAGAAGAAGAAGAAGAAGAAGAAGAAGAAGAAGAAGAAGAAGAAGAAGAAGAAGAAGAAGAAGAAGAAGAAGAAGAAGAAGAAAAGAAGAAGAAGAAGAAGAACAAAATAGAGGAATAGACAGAAAGTCCAGGGCGACCTATAACCTTCAAGCACAACAGGATGAGGATGATGATAATGTTGATGATGAGCGAACATAACAAAGAGACAATACACAAAGACTCAAACACAAAGACAAAACACTCTTGTGTACCCAGTCGTGGAATAGCTGGAGCGCCACCACCTCCTTTGGTCATCTGCAGCTGGATCTCATCCAGAGTTAACCTCGAGACCAGATCATCCACTCGCTGGCTCCAGGGAAGGCTCGTGTTTTGAAAGGGAAATGGCCCAACTTGTGCATGTGTGGAAACGATGACATCTGAGCCTGTTAAAACTGTCAAACATAGCATTACCAGTTGACTCCATTTAAACGGCCAGTCATCCTTCATTGCAGCAATAAGTGTGCTGTGGATTAAAAAAAATTAAATAAGACATGAAAACATGACAAGGTAGAAAATCAAAGCAATGATTTCTCACTGTAAATTGGAAAATAGAAGACAAACGACAGATTGATGTGTACTAGCTGGCAAACTTCGCCGTATATCGTCAATTGTACAGTAAAATAACAATTGAACATAATCAGTTAATTGCAGTTTCAACGTCACAGCCAACTAACTCATCACCCATGGCTGAACCGTTCCCCTACCACACAGAATGTCCATTGATGTTACTCAGTAAAGTTAAACGAATACCACACAAACTCATAAATGTATAAAGCAACCACCAGAAGTGCCGGAACAAATATTCCGATATTAGAATTGCAGCTCATCGTTGACGCAAGCAGCAGTTACTACCAATCAGTAGCTGCACACGCAGTTAATCGCATAAGTCACCCCGTTGCCATAATTTTGTGGCACCAGACCACTCGACATTTTATGAATCTGCTGTTCCCATCACAATTACGTTGTGCATAGTCAAAAGGCATTCCAAATGAAATCCACAGCTGACAGAATCGCGGCGCCAGAACTTAACTCAGTAGCTGGGCGATGGAGCTATTTAATTTCAGTACATATAGGGGGAAAAGAAAATCAGCTAACTTCAGAAACAAATACCTTCTCTAGACTAACAAAGATGCCTGATCTCGGAAGCAAATAAATGAATCCTTCTAACAAAAAACAAAATCAAGCTTAATTAAAAGTAGCTACCTCTTTTACCAGGGCAAGGGTAGCGTTGCTGATTTAGCCAGTCAATAGTGAGTAAAAAAAGTTTTACTCCATCAGGACATCACACAGAGCGATAAACACCGGGTAACACAAAGTGCCACCATTCGGATGGGGATCGTCCGTGGAGAGGTCCCGGAAACCCCGTTTAACCGTTAGGTTATAAAAGGGAGCCGGCATCCCACATCTTGGACGACGAATATAGTATACACGCCGGTGTTTGCTGGCTAACATCTGTTATAGACATGCAACTAACTTCACAGTTGCTGAGTAAATAATTGTCATATATACATCGAAATAAAAATTAAGATGCAATACATTCACGAAGGATTTAAAAAAAAAAAAAATAAAACTTACCACACGATTTTTGAACTGGTGACACACGGCAACTGAAATACAAAATAGTGTCAATTCACTTCAGTATTGGTCGAGTTCATGGCCACAAACCATAATATTTGTTCACTATCAGTTACACAGATTACAAGCACGAAATAGTGTGTTTGATTATCGATGATTGTGATACGAGCACATTAGATAAGGATGCCTCGGCATCGTAACATTGTAACTTCAACACACACACACACACACACACACGTACACACACACACACACGCACGCACGCACGCACACACACGCACGCACGCACGCACACGTCATTCTCATCATCATCATTGTCATCATCATCATCATGAGTCGTCCTGCTTACGTGGATGGGGCATCATGTTTCGTCACATTAAGCGACCTGTTTTAGCAATGAGCTCCAGTCTGAAGCGCGTCTGAGAAGCGTGACCAAGTTTCAAGGGGCTAGCGAGTAATTTTGAAATTAACTACTTGTAATTATCAGAATTTTTTACTTTAACAGTCATGAAAACAAAACAATGCTGCCAGCTTGATGTGGAGAGTGATCTCCTTTCTGCCTTGTCCAACATCAGACTAAACATAGCAGACATCATCAAGTCAAAACAGACTCAACCATCACGATGATATTGGGACATGAAATTGCCAGACGTTGGTGATTGTTTATTTTGTTATTTGTCACTTTGATTTATGTGCGCACTTTTTTTCTGTTTTTGTTAACAGTACTTGTGATTTGTCTTTTGCCCTCTTCTTTTTAATCACAATTTGTTGTGTTAGAGAAGAGGGGGGGGGGGGAGGGGGGGGGAGAGAAAATTGGGAGTCAAGGGGGTTTTAGCCATATAAACAACAAGGAGGTCGAAACATAAAAAAAGGTTCGACACGACTATCCAACAGCATGTATCCCATCCCCTCAGTAAAGATTTTTTTTAAGAAAAACACACCTAGATTTAGAGGGAGAAAGTCGGACAAAGAATGAAATGCTTCGGCCATCTAGTTAGAATGCAGCCAGACTAAACTGCATATGAGACTTTTTACAGCAGAGCATCTGGGAGGAAGCCGAGAGGAAGACCAAGAAAGATATGGATAAATGGCGTAGCTCAAACCTCTAAAAGAGATGAACATATCAATCACCCAAGCCATCCGAAAAGCCATGACAAATACAGAAAACCATGACACTGGGTTACAACCTGGTATTGGTGAAACGACAAAACCACTACACTGGGCTACAACCTGGTATTGGTGAAATGACAAAACCATGACACTGGGCTACAACCTGTTATCAGTGAGACTACAAAACCACGACACTGGGTTACAACCAAGTATCAGCGAGACGACAAAACCACGACACTGGGATACAACCTATTATCAGTGGGACGACAAAGGAAGAAACACATTGTATACCGTCTCAACAATGAACGTTGGCCGACTCTGGAATATGATGTGGTAAGGTTCCGCTGTCCAACCCCTCTTACCAATATTGAATGCTGAACTCGAGAACGGATTTATTGTTTGAAACACAAGCAGTCCACCGAGATACTACGATACGTCAAGGATTGTCAAATGCATTCACTGACCCTTAAGCCAGAGAGCCGCACAAATCTCATCCTGTGTAATCCTGACCCAGTTCACCTTAGTTGTTCCCCGGACCCTGTGGGTTTTGGGAGTCTCCGTGGTGTAGCGGCTAGATGCTCGCCTGCGGACCTGAAGGATCTGCTGATCCTGTTAGAGCTGAAAATTTTTTTAGTGGTCATGGCTTCCAAGTCAACCGAGCCTTGAGTTGGTACCAGATTCAGTCCTGGGAAGTGAAGGCGACCGTTGTGATGCTAACCACATGTCTCACCAAGAACCGACTAATCTATAAAATATAGATCTAATTCTATATGCCCGATACACCTTAAGGTCTTAATAAGCGCCTTTTACTTTTTATTTACCGCTTCGGTTCTAGTGCAGTAATACTCTAGCTATAACGTTACCAGATTTCCCCAGTGTGTGTCCTATGCAACGCCAGCGTCTTCTCGTTGTCTCCTCAAATGAACTGGCCTAGTTATTTATCAGAATTGCAGACATAATATTCTTCTTCTTATCGTTCACAGGCTGTAAACTCTAACGGAAATCACTGGTAGTTGGTCTACTTCTGAACTTTAGTCTTGTTCCAGAGCCTGAATTTTGTCTTACAGATCAGGAAATGATTACAACCAAAGATTTTATGTTTGCAATTATTTCTCTTGATTTGTTCTTGGAGCGTACGAGGAAAGCAAATCAAGTTACACGGTAACGCACCAAAGACGCCGCAAGAGACGATTAATGAATATTGCTGTCAAACTCCATACCTCTTTCCTAAAATACACTACAAAAATACAAGCGCTGGGTGTGAGTTGTTGAGCGCCCAAGCTCTACACATAGATGAGAGGCAGAAAAGATATCTCACCAAACTTGCAGTGATAGAAGAATGTGACGTACTGGTCTAGATAGAGTTCATGGCTGCTGTTATCTGAGTGGTCCAGATGTCTGGTGTATCCACACTGATAAATAAGGCTCACCACAGAATGACGGCGAACCACAACGGCGTGACGGCTAGAGGCTGAACTCGGGCCTGAAAGTCATGGGTTCAAATACACACGCAGTCACAATGTTTATTTTTTTTATTTTCTACCTTGGCTCCCATGTCTACCTAGCCTTACATAGGCACCAGATAAAGTACTGGGAAGTAAAGGCGGCCGGTGGGGTGTTGACAGCATCATCCACCGAATGCCAATCGGTCTATAAAATATAGCCCTAGCACTATATGCTCAATAAGCCTAAAAGCGTGGAATAGGCTCCTTTGCCTTTACAGATAGCTGAGTCAGTCAGAATTCCTCACTGTAGATATATATTTGTATACCCCCTGTGCTGTTTTCAGCAGCTAGCCCTCCTATCTGTATATGTCTACAGCAGCGGTTCTCAAATTATAAATACAATATTTCTTAAACTGTGTTAAAAAAAAAAAAAAAAGTCAGTTTCTTGTTTGTTTTCATCAGTAATTTGTATATCTATAGTTAAAAATCTCTATAATATGATAACATAGCATTTATAGGTTAGGAACACATTCTGACCAACACGTATCTCCATACCGCCTGTTTGCCTTGTTACTGCGAAATCTATTCGGGGTGGGGGCGTGATGACGGGGTCTTGACATAAACTTAATGGGGATGGGGAGGGGGCTACCTGAAAAACTTTGGAGACCACTGATGTAAAAGGTGTCTGTATTTTTATTTGACTGTTTGCGTTTTCCCCTGTTGTTATTTTACATTTCTCCATATCATTGGTTATTCTCCTTCTCTGGGTTTTCCTTAGCCGTCAGCGTCTTCTTATCCCATCTGCCGCCCATCGAAGAGGGATAGTCGTCCTTGCTAAAATATCAGGAGGCGTTCTGTAAACATGTTCAAGCCATCTCCACACTCTGGTAAAGTTTGCCAGAAGTGAACATCTCGTTTGCCTCCCCTGTTCTTTATCGGAGATCTTGTTTGGCCAAAACATTCGCATGATTCTCCTTAGATATTTATGTTTCTGAGATGCTCAACTTTTAACCAATCTGCAGTCATTTTTTTCTCCAGGTGTCCCCCCCCCTCCCCTCTTTCCCCCCACTCCATGCAACAATGTCAATGATCTTTTGATCCCACAAATCTACACCAATACCTGTATGATTCATGTCCCAATTGCTCACAACTTTCTGTCGTTCTGGAGGCTAACCTCGACATCTTCTACACGTCTGCAGTTTAAAATAAAGGATGTCCCCTTAGGGACCCTGTTCTCTTGAATTCTCCATGTGTGACCAAGCACCCTGAGTCTTCCGAGATTGAGCACTGAAAATTTATGTTCCATTATTTGTGTGA